ATTAGTTGGTATATATTTCTTATTGATCCTTAGTGATAATTCGAGAGAGTTTAAATATTTCACTTTATCCGTCTGTCTGTCTGTCTGTGTATCTGTCTATCCGTCTGTCTGTCTGTCTGTCTGTCTGTCTGTCTGTCTCCCCCAGGTATTAATAACTCCCTCACTATCGTTAATCACAACACAGGTAGTTTACACAGTAACCCGGGCAAGTGATGATGTCCACAGGCGACTTCATTGTCCCCTTCACACTGGCCCTTACTCTGGCACTCACTGACCCTCATACTGGCCCTCACTGGCACTCATACTAGCCCTCACACTGGCACTCATATTTACCCTAGCACTTACACTCATACTAGCACTCATATACCCTAGCACTTACACCACACTCTCGCCAATCTAACCATACCATAACTTAGATAGATAGATATATATGCCTAAGACTGGAGAGGTGTGTGGGTGTTGGTGCAGGGATTCGAACGTGGTGTTCCCCAAGATGAGTCACTGAGACCGTGTGTGGCAGTCGCTGGCACCTTACCCCCAGCATGAAAACGAAAATAAGTAATAATACCTTCATTATGTGAGCGACATTACGTTAATCTTTCGTTATAAGTCTCGTTTGTTATTGCGTAATTATTATTGTTGTTTTTTCGTCTAATGTTGGTATTTATATTGTGTTTTTATTCTCTGATTTTTAATGTTTATGTATTTTTAGTTAAGGCAACATCGCCACTACCCCATCATGCATTATGATAACAGGATGTATCTTTATGTATCGATCTTGTACAGTTTGGGTTAGTCATCCCGGCTGATTCTTTTCGCTCCTTCACCAAACGAAGGGAGAAGAAAATATACGTAACTCAGCGAAACCAAGGAAATGAATCAGGGCCTTGTTGAGTGTTCCCGCCATGTTGGTCGCGTTCACTGACAGACGAATTGAGAGGAAAAATATTACCTTTTATTTGAGTGGGGGTTTTTTCAACGCTAAATGATCATTAATATATTTTACAACAAGCGAGTTTACAATTATACATTTGATTTTTGTTTTACGATAAAAATTCTTTGAAAATAAAGGGTTATATATTTTTTTATTGTTATTCCCGTATGAAATTCAGGACATAGCACAACTGTATTGGAGTCTAGTGTAACGATGTTTAATTGAAGCGCCGACTTCCTCGTTCCTATCACCACAAACCCTCGTATTTCACTGCCCTCTCCACCATCTCCAAATAATTACAAAGTGATTCATGAAGATGGAGTAGGAGGTGTGTGCTGACAGTGTGCTTGTGAAGAACGGCTGACACACTCACTTCTGCTGACGGACAGGCTGGCTGGTAGTGATGAGTGTTGGAACCCTGACTGTGTTGAATATTATAAACATTAATATTTCTATAATAATAATAATAATGATAATAATAATAATAATAATAATAATAATAATAATAATAATAATAATAATAATGATAATAATAATAATGATAATAATAATAATAATAATAATAATAATAATAATAATAATAATAATAATAATAATAATGATGATAATAATAATAATAATAATAATAATAATAACTTGATACATAGAATTCTCTTGTTATATTAATCAGCTGTTATTGTAGACTAATCAGCTGTTTTCTGTTTACATTGATCAGCTGTGTTATTGTTTCCATTTAATCAGCTGTTTGTTTACTCAGCTGTTCTACACCTCGGTAAACCACGTGTATAAACTTGACAGAGGGTAGGAATGTAGATGGGAAATTCTTAATATTCAACAATAATTCTTTCCCACTAGGATATATTACGTAATTATTAAGTGGAAAATCGTCTCGTAGGACATTAGATTTTACGATATTTTATTTTTTTGGAATTATTATATATTCTTTACGATTAATTATTATTTTATGTTTTAGTAGATGGAAAATATTAAATAAAACAAGATTAAGAAAAAATATGATGTTTGCCTTAAATATCAATTATGGTTTATGTATTCACGAAATATTTTACGATAATAAACTCAGAAAACTTACGAGAGATTGAATATGTTCTTCCGTTGGAGAGTAATACACTAAGGACCCGTTTTCTGTGATGACTTGGCCCATTGTTAGGATTATGACTTAATGATGTCTTTTAATTAATACAAAATATTTAAATTCGAGTACGATGACTTAAAGCCTCAAAGATCTTGACTATGATGACTGTGATGACTTAAAAGAATACAATGATCTACAACCTGGAATGTGATGACTTAATACCTCGATTACAATGACTTAACCCTTTAAATACAATGATCTAACTCTCAGTGTGATGACTTAACCTAATGAATACGATGACTTAACCCCTTGAATACGACTTATAGAAAGGTACAGTAAACACTATAATTACAGTATATAAATATATGTAATCAAAAAGTGAAACTACAGTAATTATCACATGACTACAGTTACGGAATACTGTACTTAAATCGATCAATCAAAGGTATCAGTATTGTCTGAGGGTTGGCGACCACATCCCCCACTCCAAATATTTCAGGACTGACAACCAAACGTAAGGCTACATACCAACGTTAACGCTACTACTACTACTACTACTACTACTACTACTACTACTACCAATAATAATAACCGTATTAAAATATAACTTAGAAAATCCTCCATAACCATATATACGAAAAAATAAATTACTCGTCAAATCTTTCATTAAATTTCACCTAAATGGACATTGTAATAGTATCCAGATCGTTACGTTATGAGCGAAACATTAAGGAGACACGCGAAGATAAATGGAACATATCATTGATCCCGAAGTCTGTCTTGGATTACAAAGGCAAATTATCCGCCGAAAATTATAAGAACAAAAATAGTGAGAAATTACTAGTTGGCATCGTTTTGTTTTTGTTTTTAATCATACGTAGTTATTAAGGTAGAGTCTCAGCGCAATTTCGGAATCATCTTTGTGGACTGCAGGAACGAGTTAGTTATATAATGTGTGTTTTATACTTTAGTTAGAATAGAAATATGACTTACGGCTGAATTCTTAAAAGCTCCTAAGTGAAAAAATAAGAATACGCTTAAAATCTGCAACATCGGATAAACTTGGGTACAAAATGTGTCGGTGGGGGGTGGGTGGGGGGGTTCCTTAAAACAATCCCTAATATTCAACCTCTAACAACTGGTTTAGGGCAGTGGTGGTGGTTTACAGGTCTCTCAGCTAACTTTCTTATCATTGCCTCCTGTTGTAAATTAAGTAAAGCAGTTAGATACGTTTCTCACATCTCACTAGTTAAGAAAAAAAAATTATAAGTACGAACCTTTGAGAATACTTGTAAGTCGTAAGTGAGACAGATACGTTCTCATATCAGTAAAGGGAAAATTTACCGTACGAACCTTCATGAATCAGGTACACGACACATGTAGACAGTGAGCACCTCGAGTGTGTGAACCAATAAGGCGGGACTAACATAAACACACACAGCCTCACTGACGCCTTCTCTTGTGTCAGTTTATCTCGTGGTGTGAGTTTATTGATTATCACGTATACATGTGCACATAGATAAACACGTACATATATACATTTCTTGTATTTGTATGTTCAAAGTGCGCACAATGATGGGCACACGCGCGCGCACACACACACACACACACACACACACACACACACACACTTAACAGTTATGACGTTCCCTCCTAAGTCTCCTTAAGTAGCTTCCCTCCACACCCTCCATCCTTCCACACCCTTCCTTCTTCCACACCCACCTACCTCCTCCGTTCCCCACCCTCCTCCGTGTAGGTAACTATGACGCCAAAGCTGCAGCTTAATCCTGATTGGCTGTCGGGGGTAGGTGTAAACCAATCAACGTTGGCCTGATGACGCAAGGGCCGGGGACAGCCACCTGTGTCCCAGCTGGTGTCATGGCAGACCCCCAGCTGACCTGTCATGGTGTGTCATGTGTGTCACAACCTGTCACGGGTCACTGGGGTCATCGTTCACGATTGGACATTGGACCAGGTGAGGTAATGAGCCAGTTAGGGAAACAGCAGGTGCGCGCGCATAGTTAAGATGCCAGACCGTCGCAAGGTCTCCAACGGAAAGCGAAAGTCTTATTCAAATTACATCGTCTTTCATCGTCTCTCCTGAGGAACTCCGAGGGATAATGAGTTAAGGGGAGGGTCTTTTAACCCCTCGGGGTGGTAACATTAGGGTAGGGAGAGTGGTGGAGGGAGAGAAGTGAGGGAAAACGGGGAGGGAGTGAGCAGGTGTGAGGGATCACGTCTGTGGGGGGGAGGTAGGGAGGGGGGCACCAGGTTAGTGGGTCACGCAGGTGGTCACCTCCCCCCTCCCCACACCTCTCTCTCTCTTCCTTTAACACTTATCTTTATATATCTCTACTCTATCACTTTTGCTCTCCCTCATCCCTCCTCTTTTCACTTTCCGTTCTCCTGTCTCTTTCTTCTCCCCTCTTACTTTCGTCTCCTCTCCCCCTCTGACCATCCCTCACACACACACACACACACACACACACACACACACACACACACACAGATAACATAAACACTGCTTTTGCATTTCGTTGTCTCTGTGTGTAGGACCAATAGTGTAAATAATCCAAATATAAATTATAAATGAATAGCAACAATATTTACCCAACCTAACCTAACCTAACCTAACCTAACCTAACGTATCACCCAACATATAAAACAATAAAACAAAAACGTGGGTTGAGGTTTTTTCGGGTTTTACAAGTATAAAGGTGGTTGAGTGCACTTACGTATCGTTGTTTTAACTTAGTTTAGAGAGAGAGAAGAAAGAGAGAGAGAGAGAGAGAGAGAGAGAGAGTTTAATTTGGTTTTACAGGAGAGAGAGAGAGTTTAATTTGGTTTTACAGAGAGGGAGAGAGGAATTTAACTTGGTTTTAGAGAGAGAGAGAGAGAGAGAGAGAGAGAGAGAACATTTCCTCACAGTGTGTATCTCCTCCTTATTACCTCCCTCAGCCCTCGACACCCACAATGTCACCATCAAGAAACGGTAATTTCGAGGACATTTGTGTGCTCTGTGTCTACAATGTCGGCAGCTGGCGAGAGCCCTCGGCATGCAGGCACTATAAGGTAAGTGTCCTTCAAACCCGCAATCGACGTTGGCTACAAAAGGGAACTTCCTCGGACACTAGATATGCTTTTTGGCTCAGATTTGTTTTATAAGTTTGTGTACTGTGATAACGTTATCTGTCGTACGATAGTCACCTTATACTGATCATCTTACATACGATGTATCTTAGGTACGATATATCTCCTTACATACGACAACATCATCTCCTAACATACGATAATGTCTTGGGTACGATAATATCTCCTTACATACGATAATATCATCTCCTAACATACGATAATATCACCTCCTAACATACGATAACATCATCTCCTAACATACGATAATGTCTTGGGTACGATAATATCTCCTTACATACGATAACATCATCTCCTAACATACGATAATATTACCTAACATACGATAATATCTCTTCAACAGACGCTTGATCATCGTCACATTGTTTACATACCTCGTACACATATGTAGTATTAGCGTAACCAGTCTTATGTCGTACTACAATAATGTTACAGTATTCATATTCTTCTCATCCGCTTCATAATTTATAATCTCTAAAGTATATTTATCATATCATTAACGTATTGTTTTTATTTTGTTATTGTCCACAGGTGCTCAAGGCAGAGAGGTACAGATTTAAGGTGGTGGTGGAGGAACTGAAGGGAGCCACCACGTCAGAATACCACACGGCGCTGGTGGCGTTCATTAACTGTATCATCATCTCCACACCACAGCTCAAGGACAGGATCAGGATCAGAAACGAATTTATAGGTTCGTTCGTCTTTTTTTTTTTTATTAAATTCCTTATCGACTGGTTCATCTATGTTTTTCATCGTTTTTATATATACAGTAATTGTTTTTGTTTTATTTTATATTTATTTAATTGGCACGGTTCATTTATTATTTTTATTGGACTTTATTAAATTTAAATATTAATCTTACTTGTCTTCCCCCAGGTCTTAAAGTTCTCGAAGTCATCAATAGATTGAGGTAAGTTCTTAAAAATTACAATGACACAAACAACAAAATATTATACGAAATACTACCTATAACTTCAGACAATATAGTGCATATAACTTGACATAGTATTAGTATATATAATTTAAGATAATAATAGTACAAATAACTTTAGACTGTAATTTTACGTATAACATTCAAATCTGCATTAAAAATAATTTAAAACATTTGCATTTAAATTCACAAGCTTGCATTAAACCCAAACACGCTAAATATTATATACTTACTATAAAACGTACATATAGCTTGAGATGGGACATTTATAAGATAGTATATAGTAGTGTAACTTAAGCCTCGTGTGTGTGTGTGTGTTGGACAGGCAAGATGCAGTGACGGATTCCGACTTGGCAGTACAGCTAGATGTTTTCGACGAGCAGAGAGAGACGGACGAGGCTCAGATCTCCGGTCCTGATGGTGTCGATCTGAGCTCCCATGTCGACGTGTTCTACGCCATCCTCAGACAGGTGAGAGGGAGGCAGGGTAGATGGATGAGTGGGTGAGGGAGTGGGAGGAAGGGGGGGTTGAGAGGGATGGGGGTAGGGAAGAGGGAGGATGGGTGAGAGGGATGTAGGGTGGATGAGTGGGAGGGAGGGTAGTTGAGAGGTATGGAGGGTGAGGAAGAGGGAGGGAAGGTGGATAGGGGGGAGGGCAGAGAATGATGAATAGGAGGGATGGAGATGTGAGGTAAAAAAGAAGGTGAAGAAGAGGTGATGGGTAAGAGGGAGGAGAGAGAGAGAAGAGGGGAAGAATGAAAGGAATAAGAACAAACCAGATGTTTTCTGAGACGTTGTTGTTGTTGGTCACAGGTGGTGGAGACGCCTCAAGAGATCCCCTTCCTCAGCGTCATGCAGCACCTTCTGAGGATCGACCCTAAGGAACCAGTAAGTGACGTCATCTGGGACACGGCGGAGAAGCTACTGCACCGCGCCACCTTACTCGAGGACGCCAAGGACTCCGCCAGACTCCTGAGGGCGCCGTCACAGAAGTCCCTCACTAAATTGAAGGTGGGTGGGGACGCCTCCAGATGCCTGTGCTCATGTCACCGAGATGATCCCAAGTCCCGGAAACATTCCCTCAATCTCAACCTCAACTCACAGCAGTCACTGTCAACTCTTACGTCGCCTGTGACTGATCCATCACCTCTTCCCCCATCACTACCGGGAGGGCCTCCACCACCTCCTCCTCCACCTTTACCTCCAGGGAGTGGACCACCTCCGCCTCCACCTCCACCAGGGCCTCCTCCACCTCCAGGCGGTCCACCTCCACCACCGCCGCCACCTGGAAGAGGACCCCCACTAGCTCCACCACCACCACCTGGAAGAGGGCCACCACCTCCACCAGGACCACCTCCCCCGCCTGGAGTCTCCACCCAGCGCCGACCAGAACCTGCAGAAGAGAAGGTGCGGCTACCACAGATGGAGACCCCCAAACCTCGCTCTAAGATGAAGACCTTCAACTGGAACAAGATACCCAACTCTAAGGTAAACAGAGAGAGAGAGAGAGAGAGAGAGAGAGAGAGAGAGAGAGAGAGAGAGAGAGAGAGATGTGCTAATTCAATATTGCTGTTCAATCTCATCCAGTAAATAAACAACAACGTAATTTTGTTGCCATGACTATTATCCACCCATACCCTTCAATATATACCCCACCATGAGGCCACATCTTACCATATGACCATACCATCCTACCACACCCTTAAACCCTCTACCAAATAACCACACCACCCTGCCACATCCTCAACAACTGACCACATCCCCCATTAACAGGTCCTGGCCAAGAGCAACATCTGGTCTCTGCTAGCTCATCAACACAAGGACTCGCCCACTACGGCTCTGGACTGGGAGGAGATGGAAGGTCTGTTTTGTCAGCAGACCACCTCCACCCCGTCCTCCTCCCCCTCCAAGAACTCCCCCAAAGATGCCAAAGACGAAGTAGAGAAGAAGAAAAAGGAACCAGCGGAAGTAAGTCGGAATCTTTTGGACGTAAATAAAGTAATCGGAAAGTACACGTAGAATTATTATTTTTTTACGTTATTTTATGTTATTTTACGTTATTTTTGTTATTTTAGGTCATTTTACGTTATATTATGTTCTATATTCTTTTATTTTATCCAATTTACAATATTTGCTGAGGCTACTCGTAGTTTGGGCCTTATTATTGTCATATTTTAGGGACCACTTGGTACGTACATGTTAACCTTGTCTCTACTGGGATAAAAACTGTGTCTGTTTATTGAATGACCTTTTTTTTACCAGGATACACTAATAGTACAGTATGTTGTTCGATATATTTGGGATATAGTGAAACCTCCATATAACGGACTTTCACCTCTATATAATCCGTTAATAAGAGGTTTCACAATTAAAAGTAAATTCTTATATTATTTTTTACTTATTTTCTTTCTTAGATTATGAAACACCCCAGACAGGTTCGTTATCCACGTGTTATGTACTGTAGTTAATGAGGCCTATACACGATAACATGACCCTCTTAACCCTTAAATACAGGTTGTCTTAGAAGAAATATATATACACACTGACTCTACATCAACATTGTCCCTTGGGTGATGTTCGAGTTAGGACAATGTTGATGTTGTACCGGAAACAAAATCATTCACTCTTGATGAAAAAACAAAAACGTGTGTAGGCCTATACTTTCTCGACACCCTGTAATTCTTAGAGTTTTAAATTGAGTAGGCCTATAGGGATATTTTTATATATGTATCCTTCCTAGTATTGATTAATCGAGTAGCCCTATAGAGAACTAGAGCATATTTAGACTTAAGTAAAAATAGCAAACTCTAATAGGCCTACAACTATGAGTAAAATATAATAGGTCTAGTGACGTAATAGCTCGTAGGCCTATTACTGTGATAATAAAATCTAATAAGCCCAATGACGTAACACCCACTAGACCTATTACTATAATAAAATCCAATAGGCCTAATACTCTCAATCAAATTTAATAGGCCTAGCGTTATATGCATGATAATTTACACATTTACACCCTAATTAAACTCTAAATCATCATTAGAATTTAGAGTCAAGAGTTAAATTGACTCTGATTTACATAGACGACATAACCTAGATCTCTATTAAGAGCCTAGAGCCTAGAGCCTATCTCCCACTTAGAAGTTAGACCAATAATGAGGCTTTTGTTCCGTGACGTCATATAGAGGGTAGCTATTTCAGTGTTAAGTTTCAGTGATGCAGATATTGGTGTAACGTAACCTGGATTTAGTGAGGTATTTAGCATTTTTCTCTTAAATTTTGGATTTTTTCTTTTTTTTTTAGAATTAACCCTTAGATAGATAGAGAGAGAGAGAGAGAGAGAGAGAGTGAGAGAGAGAGAGAGAGAGAGAGAGACTTAAATGGACAGACAGAAAGACAAACACATAGACAGACAGACAGACAGACAGACAGATAGATGGACAGGCATAAAGACGACTAATGTGTTGTTGTTGCGGAGTATAATTAACTGTATATGTCTGTTTCTGTCTCCTGTACAGATCAACCTCCTAGACGGCAAGCGATCCCTTAATGTCAACATCTTCCTCAAGCAGTTCAGAGTGTGAGTAACAGAGAGAGAGAGAGAGAGAGAGAGAGAGCTTCAACCACCCACCTCAAGCAATTTGGGGTGTAACAGAGAGAGAGAGAGGAGAGAGAGAGAGAGAAAGAGAGAGAGAGAGGCAGAAAGAGAGAGAGAGAGGCAGAAAGAGAGAGAGAGAGAGAGAGAGAGAGAGAGAGAGAGAGAGAGAGAGAGAGAGAGAGAGACCACACCTAAACCTACTCTTCTCCCACACCCACAGGAGCAACGAGGAGATAATGGAGATGATACGCAATGGTGAACACAGCGACATAGGAGCCGAGAAACTACGCGGTCTCCTCAAGATACTGCCGGAGACTGACGAGATGGAGATGTTGAAGAACTTTGATGGAGACGTCAACAAACTGGCCAGCGCTGAGAAGTTCCTGTTGATGCTGATGGCCGTACCGCAGTGAGTACACCTGAGAGAGAGAGTGAGAGAGAGAGAGAGAGAGAGAGAGAGAGAGAGAGACTTCTGTTTGTGGATGTTAGTATGATATTAATTGTAATTTTCTTTCTGTTTATTGTTTGTATTTTGTCATTTTTCCTTTCTTTACTTTCATTTATCTGGCCTTCTTTCGTTTAATCATTCCTTTACTCACTCTTTCACTTTCTCTCCCTCCCTCCCTGTTTCATTTCCTCTCATTTCTTTCCTCGTTCCTTCTTTATCTCCCTCCCTCATTCTTTCCTTTCTACTATTCCTCCCTCCCTCCAACGCTCAAACATTCTCTCCCTCCTTCACTCCTTCCTCTCTCCCTTCTACCCTCCCACCCTCAAACCTTCTCTCCCACCCCCATACCTTCCTTTCTACCCTCCCTTCCACCTACTCTCCTTCCCTCCCACCCTCAATTACTTAACCTTCTCTCCCTCCCTCCCTCCCTCCATCCATCAAATCTTCTCTCCCTCCCTCCCTCCCTCAAACCATCTCTCCCTCCCTCAAGGTACAAGTTGAGGATTGAGGCCATGCTGTTGAAGGAAGAGTTCGAGGCTACCATGGACCAGATTGAACCTTCCATCAACGCTGTCATCTACGCCGGCCGAGATCTGACCGCTAACCCACACCTTCAGGAGGTCTTGTACATGGTGCTGGTAGCTGGCAACTTCCTCAACAGTGTAAGAACCTTCTTCGTCTCCTCCTCCTTCACCCATGTGTTGTGATATATATATAAATAGATGGACGGTACTAGTTCCATCATTGACCATGTATAGTGAGAGATATAAATACTAGTTGTATAATCTACCATACACAGTGATAGATATGTTTGTGTATATTGATGTAGAATTGTATACAGTGTAGTGTATGTTGAACAGGGGAGGGGTTTGAATGCACACCCATGTATGGATGATTATAGGTATTTAAGATAACTAATTGATCTTCTACATACAGGGAGGGTACGCAGGCAACGCGGCAGGAATGAAGCTCTCCTCACTACAGAAACTGACCGACATAAGAGCCAACAAACCGGGCATGACACTACTGCATTATGTGGTCCAGGTACGTCACTACACAACCATGAATTAATGACTTTTTTTTTATTAAGATATTGACTAAAGTTATGTATAGTTATTAGGATTAATTATTGAATGTTTTTAAGTAATTAATCACGTAATTTATGTAGTTTGTATCGATATTAAGAGTATTTATTGAATGTTTATTTGTAATGTTTATATTGTTGACCGTAGCAAGCAGAGAGACGCGACCCTGAGCTTCTGAAGTTCCCGGATGAGATGTCATGTCTGGAGGAGGCCACCAAGTGAGCATACCTACTTTTTGTTGATGTTAAACAGGCCACTCGGTGAATATTTTTTTACCCTCCTTCTTTTCCTTTGGTTTAATGACTAGCTTTTTGACCTGTATGACTGCACCAGTTTCCAGGAAGATGGATGATGTTTGCTGGATTTTGGAAGATAAACTTTGAGTTGTATGTTTTGGTGAGTTGAATAAAATGACCTTCACCGCTCCTACTATTGAAAACTCATAGTGTGGATATAGGCTGTTGATTCCTGTACTGAGTGTATGTAAACAATGTGTCTATCTTACATGTCATTATCGTACCATGGCTGCTTCTATAGTCAAGGGCGGATCCAGGGGGGGTCTTGGGGGTCCTGACACCCCCCCCCCCTTTCATCAGAAAATTCCAATACTTTTTCTTTAATGTAGTATTGTAATTAGGCCTTTTTATATAGTAAAAAGTAATTACTATTAACCTCGGAATATCTCCTAATATCAAGTGCACGTGGCCTCAAAATGCCCCTAATATTGCTCAGATTTAAAAAAAATGGGGGCTTACTAACTGGGTGAACTCGCTTTGCTCGCCATGTTCCCCCACAAAACTTTTGGATCCCTCCTTTGATATTCCTGGATCCGCCCCTGATAGTGTGATTTCAATGAGAAGACTGACCTCAGAGTCACCCAGCCTGTCTTTAACTCTTCTAAGAGGGGGGGGTTACGTGATGACGTGTGGCATATCCGGATTCAGATTCTCAAATGACCATGAGTCCAGATGAATCCAAATCTACGTCTCAGGTACAGAAACAATACGAAGGGCCAATAAGATAGTGGCTTTGTTTTGCATTGGTTGTATACCGGCACTGTCTATGCTGATTCAATGTAAACTTGTATGCCTGTATTCGTGAATATCTCTCTGTCTACCTGTTTATTACGTCATATCGTCTCGTACATCGTGAAAGTGTGAAATTAATTTTACTCACAACACAATTGCATATTCAACTTTCATCAACAACAGATTTCTCCAGCGTCCTACTGAGCAGGTCAGGCTACACTGTGTTATGAGCACTGAACACACCGTTGTTATGGGGTATTAGGGACGAGAAAATATTGTAATCACGACAGTCCCAATGTAATATCGACGTCAATTTGGTCACTAACCTTAGTAGGGAGGGGGGGCATAATTTAAAGCAACCTGATTAATTTTCCGACGTTACTGGGTGATACCTGTTGTAATTGTAGCCGTCGACAGTGTCCCGGCTTTCAGTGCATCGTGTAGAGACTTTGACTATTGAAATGGAGCCTATTATAATTAGTGCCCATTAGAACTACCAGGGCCTATAAAGATTCTGGTCTCTTAGATCTACCAGGGTCTATTAGGACTGGGGTCTATCAAAACTACCAGGGCATATAAAGATTCTGGTCTATTAGATCTACCAGGGTCTATTAGGACTGGGGCCTATCAAAACTACCAGGGCCTATTATAACTACTAAGGTCTATTAGGAAAAGGGCCTATAAGCACTGTAGGCCTATTAGAACTGGGGCCCAATTGACCTACCAACCCCTTGAGAATCCGGGTAAAGCCAGATCGTATTAATTAAAATTCTGAGCACACATCCCACCCTTTACCCGGCTGGATGGTCACTGACGATATTTACAAGCCATTCTCACTTCATATATGACTTACTTACTTGTTATCCTATCCAATTACATTAGATTTATAATATATTATTTTCATCTCCCAAAAAAATTGAGTTTAACTGTTTTTAGTAAGTTTGTTTACGTACTCATAAGATGACATGAAATTTCAATTGTGCTGTGGAATGTTTGTAGTCCCAAGTGATTCAGTTTCTTGAAAGTTCGTGACGGGACAGATTTAGGTTACTGCTAACTTTATGACTGAAAATAAGATAGAGAAACTGTATCCAAAATCGACATCAGGATTACACTAAGACACTAGCTTAACGAGGCACGTTCACTTAGCAACAGTTGGCATACATATTGTTTACACCTGATTATACATCCTGTTTGCACCTTATTATACATCCTGTTTACACATTATACATCCTGTTTACGCCTGAATATAACGTGAATACACTTGGCAGGACGACGATGGACCAGCTGACCAGTGAGATGAAACAGCTGGATGCCAGGATAGCCAAGCTCTCCGTGCAGCTGAACAACCCCCAAACACCCAGGGACATCACCAACCAGATGGGCAACTTCCTTCAGGTAGGTCCTTCTTCAGGTAGGTCTTCCTTCGGGTAGGTCCTCCTTCAGGTAGGTCCTCCTTCAGGTAGGTCCTCCTTCAGGTAGGTCCTCCTTCGGGTAGGTCCTCCTTCAGGTAGGACATACTTCAGGTAAATCTTCCTTCAGGTAGGTCATCCTTCAGTTAGGTCTTCCTTCAGGTAGATCTTCCTTCTGGTGGGTCGTCCCTCAGGTAGGTTTTCCACCAGGTAGATCTTCCTTTTACAGATTAGGTAGTCCTACAGATATTTCATCCTTCTACAGGCAGGTCCTCATCCTACAGGTAGGCCCTCCTTCTACAAGTCAGTAAGTCATCCTCCTACGGGTGGGTAGTCCACCGATTTATTATTTCCTGGTTAAACAAGATTTTGAATCATGGGACTAAAACTGTTTTCACTTCTCTCTATTTACAGTGACTTATTATTATCTCATTATAAACTAATCACTGTGTAATTATCCTTTTGCAGGTGTATTTATCCTACAGGTGTAATTCATCATTGTCTAATTATCCTCCAGGTGGCATCCAATGACCTCACTTCACTGAAGGAAGGCATCGAGGAGGTTGAGAAGGTGAAAGCAGACGTGGCTGAGTATTTCTGTGAGGACCCAAATTCCTTTAAGATTGAAGAGAGCTTTAAAATCCTCTTTAACTTCTGCTCAAGGTTTGTATTAGAGCTCCAGTCCTCTTTATTTCTTTTGTTAATCACCTGGTATTTTTGGGGGGGAATTATCTGAAGATTAGACACCCCCAAGATTATTTTACCTGAAGATTAACCACCCTAATGCTACCTGGAGGGGGTAAAGTTAGGGGAGGTTGAGTAAGTTATGTTAGTTAATGTTAAAGTTTGGTTAGTGGTTGGTTGGGTTAGGGTAAGTTACTGAAAAGAAAATAAGCTGGTTGCACATTCACTACATTTAAAGCTGAGTTGCTTAATAAAAAAAATAAGCTGATTATACATCCACTGCATTCTTAAGGCTTGTTTGTTATGGATATAATTACCTGCTTCATGTATATTATAATTAAACCAACACACAGTGCTTTCAATACACATGCTGTACACCTATTCAACTTTATGTATGCAAAATGTTTTATACAGCTTCAACGCTTCAAATAGGATAAATAAACCAGTCTCATTCAGTTTCAAGGAGAGTAAAGTGGTTTGTTTACACCCTCAGGTTCAAACAAGCTATTGCTGAGAATGAGAGGCGTAGGCAGCAAGAGGAACAAGCCGAGATCAGGAGACGAACACGAGAGGAAAATGCAGTGAAACGCCGTTCATCATCACAAGGTATTGGAGGGAAAACATAAATATTCAATAAGGGTTTTTTTTATTATTATTATTTTTTGTTTTTTACTTTGGGTTTTATTGTTTGTTTTTATTTCATTTAATGGTTCTTAGTTTGAGAGTTTTTCTTTTTTTTTACTTTTTTTTTACTTTGGTTAAACCATTGTCCTCACATGATAAAATTATAGTCATCAAAGGGTTAAAACAGCTATTCAAGGGGTAAACCAAATCATTGTCATCAAAGGGTTAAATCATCAGTATCAAAGAGTTAAATCACCATCCTTAAAGGGTTAGAAACAATCCTGTAAAGGGTTAAATTATTATCCTCAAAAAGAGTTGAATCATCTTTAAATGGATTAAAAATAGGTCTTAAAGAGTTAACCCACTTAGGTATGCTGAAAACCTCTTTATTACAGTAACTTAACCCTTTGAATATGATGACGTGGTCTTAACCCTTTGAATATGACATGGTTTGAACCCTTTGAATATGATGACGTATAATGATGTGGTATAGATAAACAGATTACAAAGTACATCTAATAATTTGTTTCAATTCGTTGGTGATTTTTAGTCATATTTTAAATTGGTAATATTCGTTGAGTTTCAGGAGGACAACCTCGGCCAGGCTCCTTCAGTGGCTCAGAAACAGAGGTCAATATTATGGAGAATCTCTTGTCCGACATTCGATCTGGTTTTACTCAGAGAAAGTACGCAGAAATGGCTATTAACAAGGTGAGAGAGAGTTGCTGTGCTGACTTACTGGAATTACTAAAATGTTTTTATGTATCATGTGTTTGGATTCTTGGGAAACCTAATCTAACCTAATCTGACATAACTTAACCTTATATAACCTATCCTATCCTAGCTTCTCCTATCCTATCCCAACCCAACCCAACCCAACATCACAATTAATCAAACTCTAATATTTTCCTTCCATTGTAGAGTAAAAAAGGAAAGAAGCTGGACTCGTGGCAAAATGGCGGCATGACCTCAGAGGACGAGACCTCACTCTGTAATTCACCCCGTATGACTCGCCGTCGCATGGGGTCATTCTCAGGGCCGACAGCACCCCAGGGAGATAACCCAGCCAACGATAATTCCCCTGGTGAGAAAAACGTCCCCTTTGCTATTTTAGGGTTAGGGTATGATGTTATATTTTAATTAGTGCCTCTTGTGGTAATGATTAACACTGTCAGGACTATGGTTTAAGTTATATCTCGTTTAAGGATGAGTGTTATAACTAATTCTCAAAGGCATAGACCATCTCTCCCCACCTCTTCCTCAGAAAAAAGTTAGTGTAAACCATCATCCTCAAAAATGTTAGTTTAAACCATCACCCTCAAAAATGTTAGTTTAAACCATCATCCTCAAAAATATTAGTCCAAGTCATACTCAACGAAAAGTTAAGCCTTTGTTTTATATCTGCAGATGTTACACCAAATGGCAGTCTACGACGAAGAAGGTCCAGGGTCCCATCAGAGGAGGACGACCATAAGCTGATGGATTACCTACACACAGCTGGTCACGACGGATCCAGAGAGAGGAAATCCTGGTCTGGTGTTGGTGAGAATAATATAACTTTTTACGACAACTGGTAGAAAACTTGTGCTGTATGTATGTGATTAAGGAAAAGTGTGGTTCATCGATTTATATGTTTTAGGCAGTTAATTTATTACATTTACTGAGTGTTCATCGTAACAACAGCAAAAATAGAATGAATTTTGTCTTATGAAATTTTTTCCTTGATTGAGAGTATTTACACTAATCTGAAGCTGAAATAATCTGAAGCTGAAATGGCCTAAAGCTGAAATAGTCTGAAACTGAAATAGTCTAAAGCTGAAGGTTCTCAAGCTGAAATAGTCTGTGATTTTCATGACATCTACTTTTAAACAAATATTTAAATCATTTCATGTAAATTATCTACCTATTGTTGTTACAGCTGAGGGCTATGGCTCCCTGGATCGCTCCTTTGCTCGGCGTGCTCGTGGTGGAGGAAGGAATCGTCCGAGTCTGTTAGCCTCCGAGTCATCAGAGAGGGAGCGGCCTGCCTCACCCTCCACCACCACCACAGACAAGCCCCAGCCACCTGACCACAACAGACCAAGGTGAGCGGTGTAAAGCCTTCAGGACCTACCGGGGAGACGCTTCAGAGATTATTTATATTTGTTTGGATTATGTGAAGATTAGACACCCCAGCTTATTTCACCTTAAATTTAACAATGCTAACTCTAGCCTAATTCAACTCAACATATCCTAACCTATTATAACCTAACTCAGAGCTGTATATACCATGTGGTTTGTAAGAACATAAAGGTGGACTCTCATTAATATATTCTCTTTAGTTTAAACCAAAGTACAGTACAGTATATGTTGGGTTATCCTATCATGTTTGGAAATACTACTGTGAACCATGAAGATCTCTATTTACAGCTAAACTTTCAAGATCTGTTAATTCTTCTCAAACTACAATATCTGTTTAATAACTTCAACAGAGATTTAATATAGGTACACCTCTATTTTTTAGGATTGTAACCCTTTCATAAGTTAGGGTCTGCCTTATAAAAAATGGGTAGGAATGATGCCAAATAATCTCTTCCATGATTTATATTTTGTTTTGTTTTAATAATTGTTTGTGTGCTGGACGATTATAACACATTATATTTATGATCCTTCACAGCAAAAACTGGCGTCAGAAGATTGAGTCTTGGTTTAAGGAGAATGAGAAGGAGGAACGTCAGTCTGATGAACTCAAAAGACGACTTCACCAACACCGTAAATCCTTGGACCTAGACACATCACTCGGTAGGTTTGGTAACTTGTCCAGTACAGTACAGAAAAAACTTCACCTATCTTACCCAGTCCTGTACTAGTTTACAATATAATCTAATAACTGATTATAATCCATACTTTCATCATCTTGGTCATGTTAGCTTTTGGATTACAGTACAGTATTTCATATCTTGAATCATCTCATTATATCTAACTAACAGATATGTGTGTGTGTATTAATGCAACTGAAAGATCTCCTTATTGGGGCTTGAACCTATTACTAGCAAGTGCCAAGCCCAGGTAGTAACCACTCAGCCACCAGGTGCTAAAAGATCACCACAACCAGGGATGACTTTTTAGCAGGTGTTGGCTGGGTATTTATGACCTGAGGACAACATCTGTTTGAGCTCATAAAAGGAGGATATTTCCATTGCATTAAAACCACTTAATGATATGGATTCATTATTGATTTGAATATTAAGTGTTTATTTGGCTTTAGTATAGCACTTTACTAGAGGACCTGGGTTCGAACCCCTTAAGTGGATGATATCTCAGTTGCATTAGAAACAAGCCACTTTAATGACATGAATTCATTATTGATCTGAGTGTCATTTATTATAATTTTAATTCTATGTTAAGTCTTGAAGTCTGTCTGTCCTGTTGTGACATTTTTTGGTATAATAATGACCCATTTTTTCTTTTTTTTTCCATGACCATTTCTTCTGGCCAACTGTCCTGTTTCCTTCTTGCCCAAAGCTGAAGGTACGGCTTTAACCCCGTGAGACTGACTACCTCTATGGCTTTAACCCCACAAGACAACCCCTTACACTGCTTTAACCCCACGAGACTGACTACCTCTATGGCTTTAACCCCACAAGACAACCCCTTACACTGCTTTAACCCCACGAGACTGACTACCTCTCGGGCTGTAACCCCACAAGACGACTCCCTACACAGCTTTAACGAAAAATATTAACCATCTACACAGCTTTAACCAACAAGACTGACCCTCGACATAGATTTAACCAACAGCATTGACCAACAAAACTGGATGGATTGGTATTGGGTATGATTGGGCCCTCCTGCAATCCTCTGTGACCCTCTGTGACCCTCTGTGACCTCTTGTGTTTTCCCCTTTATGTGAACCCAGTTGACCCCTGTTACCTCTGACACATCCTATATGACCATTATTACTGACCTACTTAATGACCAGTGTTTCATATTGCCTAAATACTTTATTATATTGCACAAACAAAGTTTTCCAGGACTTTGCCAAGTTTGACACTGAATGAATCTTATTCCCTGCGTCAAGGTATTGTATAAGATAAATGTTTTTTTTCTTTGTCGGGTTTGGTCTCCCTTCTTAGGACTTGGGTCCTCTGTCTGTCGTGAGTGATGTGCATTTGTTCTGTTCCTCTGCCGCTCTACTGATCTCATTATCGTGTCCTGCTGTAGAAAGCCAATCAATATTGTGACATCAGAACTAAACTATCTTTTTTACATCATTTTCCTAAGACATAATGTATCCAATTTAGTACAAAATGTTGAAATTAGAGTTAGGTATCTTACTTGGGCGTACATTCTTCCTCCAAGACCTTGTTTACATGTTCAATACGAAATGTGGACATCAAACCTTAATTCCTTAACTGCGAGTACAGTATATCATTCCTCCAAGACGTAGTTAATAGTATTCAAGTCAGAATTAGTTTTCCAAAGTGGTCGTATCATTCTTACAACACTCTAAGATACATTTACGTAAGAATATCATACACAGGAATATTTATTTGTTTTATATTATTTGTACTATATTTTTTCTTTTCATCAGATTGCACATATAGTCAGTCTTGGTTTGGATTATCACAACAAATCTTATGTCACAAAGTCATCAAAAATTAACCCTAATCTGTGTCTCTAGACTGTTGTTTCAGCTGTGGTTGTAGTTCAGATCAGTCTTCCAGTCTGTCATAACCATTCTGCCTTTATAAACTGTTCATATACAGCACAGGTATATGTTATGCTAAATAGGAATAATTGCCAATTTATGCTTAAGAAACAACTGACCTTTTCGTGAAATAGGGAAATTGATTCGTATGCAGTAAAATATGTTCTAATTCATTTATGATGTTGTAATCATCATAAAATAGTAGGTTAAGTGAGGTTAAGTGAGGTTAAGTGAGGTTAAGCGAGGTTAAGTGAGGTTAAGCGAGGTTAAGTGAGGTTAAGTGAGGTTAAGTGAGGTTAAGCGAGGTTAAGTGAGGTTAAGTGAGGTTAAGCGAGGTTAAGTGAGGTTAAGTGAGGTTAAGTGAGGTTTAGTTAAATTATGTTAAGTTAAGTTTTCTCTGATACTCTTCACTTAGATGTATTAAACTGATTGATCCAGGATGTAGATAATCTTAAATGTAGACAATGATTCCCATATAGTATAACATATACCCTATACTGTACTAAGATATACATTTGATAGCCAGGTTCAATCCCAGTATAGATACATCTACTGTATATACACTCATATATTCCCACCTTCAGTATATATGTTGTACAATTTTCACACATCCCTTAAACTATTTCCATTTATGTATTTATATTTTCACTTTATATCACTTTCTTTTTCTTTTCACTGTGGTTTTAAGTTTGGTTAATACCTAGATGTGGTAATTAGCATGTGGAGGTGCGTAATATGTAAAGACAGTAATGTTATGTGTGATTCTTTTGTTGACTCATAATACACTGTGAAGAGGGTATTATTGTGTGTGTGTGTATAGTTGGGTGGGTGAATACTATAGTGATGCACTGTACATAGTTTAGAACAGAATGCATTCATACGACTATATAGTTATTCTGTTTATTGTTCTTACTGTTTGTGTATGTTTTAGTTTGTATTGATTTCATTTTTCATTTAGTTTGTACATTTTTTTTTATACTTTCCCTATTTTCTTCTTCTTCTCCCTCTCTCTTCCCTTGTTTCCTCCTTCTCTTTCTTTTATTTCCACTTCTTCACTTTTTACGTATTTGCTCTACATTAGTATGGGCTATTTATTTCGTCTTGTCTCTCTTTTCCTTCCCTTTACATTCTTGTATTTATTCTTGTCTGTTTTATTTTTCCATTAATTTTTTAACTTGTCTTTATTTTTGACGATTAATCTTATTTCTGTTTTATTTTCATTCTTATGTCTAATTTCCCATTTGTTTCTTTTTCTCTTCAATCACCATCTCCCATATTCCTCATTTTCTGTCAATTCTACCAAGTTTATTTTGTTAATAATTTTTCAACTTCATTATCCCATTTCTTCGTACGTGCTTCATCTGGTCGGGCACTGGTACCTACCCACCGACCCTCCCTGTAGATGAGGGTGGCGGCATGGGTGGCAGTGTGGGCGGCATGGGCGGTGGTGTGGCCTCCCTAGGAACACTTCCGGAAGATCAACCATCGGAGGACCACAGAACCGCTGGAGGAGGAGGAGGTGGAGGGTATCGTCGTGTCTACCAGGATTGGAGACCCTCAGTAGAGAAGACAGATGTGGTGAGAGCCATGGAGGCCATTGAAGGTAGGTATCCTTTGCTGTTTCCTCCACACACACACACTCCTCCATCCCTCCACACATTCTTTTAGCCCTCCACATACTCCTTCAGCCTCCACACACTCTTCTATCCCTCCAAACACTTCTCCAGCCCTCCAAACACTCCTCTAGCCTCTACACACTCATCCATGCTCCACACTCATTCATCCCTCCACACCTTCCCCCATCCTTCCATATACTCCTCCATACTCCATACACTTTATCAACCAAATTGTTATAGAATGAAATGGCTTATTAAACATGTATGACTGGACAGATTCACTTCTTTCATATGTCCATTTAGAGTTGGATTAACTTGACTTTCACTCTTAGAGAAGGAGTGTTTGGGATAGTGCCTCTTGATGGTAGTAGTAAGCAGTGGTTATGTAATAGATTTTAATTATTATATTCCAGCATTGTGATCACTCTGACTTGGCATGAAAAATATTGTTATTATTGAGTTTCAACTAGATGTCACATGTGTAAATTACAATAATGACACTTTGCCAGGTGTGTTTCTTATACATTTGTAAATTAAAAAAAAATTATACCAGGTGTGTCATAGCTTGAGTCATAACACCTTGACCCCACACACAGAGGCTCAGTCACCAGTACCGTGTAAGGAGAAGGACAAGTCCCCCTGGCGGAAGAGCAACCTGAACGTGGCCAACTCTAGTGAGGCGACACAGGAAGATGCCCCAGCACCTTCCTCCACCTCCAACACCACCATAGCAGCAGCATCCTCCACCTCTGCCCGGAGACTGCGCAGACTGAGGTCAAGATCTAACATTGAGCCTGGGCAGGTCATTCAGGCAACACAGGTATATTTGGCAACTTCAGACACATTGTCCAGCTTTCCTGATTGATTATCTTACCGTGTTTATCCGTGTGAGGGAGATCTCTTTTTTCTGTGTCTAGTCAGGCTGATGTGTGACTTTCCTAATTGGCTTTAGTCAGATCCAAAAATGCATTACCAAAAGTGATTAGTCTTGGTTGATGTTTATTTTTGTTTCATAGACTTTTGGCTCCCCTTTTTCATACAGGAACTTTGACAGTGGGAAATATTACCTTTAGTGATTGTCCAGTTAGGGTAGTATTGAAAATATAAACAGGGGGATATATTGTGCACTGGAGTATGGGTCCACACACATCATATATCACATGTTGTTCCTGACTTTTATTCTTTACAATTCCTTACTGTTACTTCTACAGGGGCTGGATGAAGATCTTGATGGAAATGCCAGTAGACGATCCTCACTGATCCAGACGCTGGGACGTAATGACTCACAGGACACCCTCAAGCTGTACATTCGCCGCCCCTCACAGGAGGACCACAAAGCCTCAGCCTCACAAAATACTGGTTAGTGTCTCAGATTCCTTGTGTGTGTGTGTGTGTGTGTGTGTGTGTGTCTCAGGAAAGGCTATTGGGATACCTTAAATATTAACACTTCTTAAGGTTAGGGAAGGTTAGTCAATCTTGAGGTGAAATAAGCTGGGGTTGTCTAATCTTCATGTGATATGGTAAAATAGAGAATAAAACTAAAGCCATTGACATACACTTTCAAATTGTATAAGATTTCCTCTTTATGGTAACACTGGCCTAAGATTCAAATCATTTCAGTTGTCAGTTTGTAGTTCAGATGCAGAAGAAGAGTAAGACTTTTGTTTAGTTATACAGTAAATATTTGCTGTGTCAGTGCCAAGTGTGAGATCATTTAAGGTCAGACTTGACCAACTAATGTTCAGGTTAGGTTATATGCCCAGTACTTGTCAATGGTGTGTAACAAAGAACAAACTGACCAGCCAGATAATGAGTGGTGAAGAGGGTAAAAAAAATTTTTAATGTGAGCTTAACTTCTAGGTAGATGCTGACTTACTCTGTGTTTATTCATGTATATGAGCTTAACTTCTTAGAGAGATACTACCTAACTGTTGTGTTTATACAGAGAGCTGTGACAGTACAGGTGAGGATGGTGAGCAGGGTCAGGTTGGCTCCCCCAGGCGTGGGTCTGCCCCAGCAGCCTCCCCACCAGACGATTCTTCCATCAGTAGGTCAGAACAACTCCTCCAGAAGTATCGACATTCTGTCGATGTCTCGGCTGACATCCTTCGTTCTATTGAACAAGTAAGACTTGAAAAGATTAAAGAAATTCATGTGTATTCAAGATTTTGTAGTCATAAAAGCTTTGAAAATGACATTGATATGAAATCATAATTTAAAATTCATTAATACACTGTTAGTTCTATTTACATAGGTATGACCATATGAATAATTTAAAGGATGAAAATAAGGAATGTATATATTTTTTTAGGCTGAACCAACACCGAGACGAAGCAGTGAGGAAAGTCGTCGAGAGAAGCGAGTGTATCAGCGCACCATGACGCCTTCCAGCCTCCGCTCAGCACTCCAGCAGAGACTCAAGGACAACCTTCAAGCAGTTCACTTAGCGGGCACCATCCGCTCATTGGGAGATGAAACCAATGAACAGCTGGACGAGGAGGAAGAAGAGGAAGCAGAATCAAAAGCAGAGAACCGAGGAGAAGACCAAAAATTATTGCCACCTTCCATACCCCGCCACCTGCGCCGGCCGTCACGAGATGAAGGCAAGTTAGACAAGATAGAGATTGACGCTGAGAACATTGAGACTCCTCCAGTAACTCGGAGGGCTTTTGGGGTGAGAAGTTTCCGCTCGCCTGCTGATTCTCGATGGTTGAATTCCGGCCAAGAGGAAAGTGAAGATCTTGATGGGCGTCGGACAGGTCGTCGCTTTCGCAGTTTAACGAGTGAGGATCGTCGCGCTCTTGTAGGGGAGAAAAAACTAACGTCGGAGGGAGAGTCTGTCAGACAACGTATCCACTCAGGAATTGACAGCTCAGAAAATGAGGGAGCTGGTAGTGAGTTTGAGGAGCGTGGCACAGCACGTCGATCTCAGCGTTTCAAACGACTGGCTGATCTTGCCAAAGATGGTGACAGTGAAACAGAACAAATGCTTGCCAAGCAGAAAGACCGTCCACTCTCCATAGGTGATGATGATGGTCTTGGTGATGGACACTTTGAACGATTCTCTTCAATTCGTAAAACACTGAGACACAAAAAGACTCAAGATAAAGCAGATCCAAAGTCAAATGAAGTTCTTGCAGAGGCAACTTCCCGAGTTGTGAAAAACAATGCATCTCAAGTAGAGTCAACACATCCAGAAGGTTCAGGAAGATGTTCATCTCGAGCATCTCCTGACCGTCACACACCTTCTGAGCAAGAGTCAACCAGAGAGAAAATTCATACCAATATTCAGCAGGCACAAGCCAGTGACCTTACTCAGGAGAGCTATGAGGATAAGGACACTCGCCTGAGACGATGGCAGCGCATCAAAGAAACTAAAACTGATGGTGAGGAACGAGGAAGCAAGTCCCGAGATGCAGATTCGTGGAGGGATCGTCTAACTCGACGATTCCGGTCCAGTGTAGATAAGTATGATGTACAACGAGCCATGGATGATCACAAGAACAAGAGCGGGAAGGATGAACTCAAACCTCCAACATCTGAACGACTTTATCGTAAGAATAAGGACAGTGTGGCCAGAGGAACTGAAACACGAGGTTCATTTAGAGCCACGGGTGGTACAAGTGACCCACGTAGAGACCGCAGAGAAAGAACGCGTAGCGCTATTGATCCTTCACAAGTCCGCCAAGCTTTAGATAAGGACAAGGAGAAGGATAAGAAACGATCAGTGTTTGGTGACCCATCTCGAGGAGTTGGGAAGTTGTTCTCTAGACTTGATAGTAAAGAGCCATCAAGTCTGCGTCGTGGTGAGGGACGAACGCGGTCCCTCTTGGATCCTCGAACTAGAAGTCGCATGAGAGGAAATTCTACAACTAAGGAAGTGGATGAAGGATTTGAGGACACTGGAAGCATCAAGTCAGAAACAACAAGCCAAGGAGCATCATCTACTGGGGATGTTCCTGATGCCGCCTCAGACAGGACACAACGAACACCCTCATCAGTTCGTAAAAATAATGAATTAAGAATTGAAAGTCATCTGGGAAGTTTGCGTCGTAGACCAGATGAACGAAATAGTTTAAGCGCCTCAAAAAAGAGCGATAAGTCGGGTTCACGCTCCAGTCTCCGTTCCTCTCGTTCATCCTTGACCTCCGCAGCCTCTGTTAACACTGTGAGACCTGCAAAACCTCCTTCTAAGTCACCCAGCACTGCCAGCATAATCAGTAATAAATCAGATGCAAGTAGTCGAGCTCGTGGAAAAATGAATGATTACACGTCTGCCCTCAAAAGTTTAACCATTAAAAGTTTGCGAATGAACCGGGGCAATGGTGAAGATTTTGAGACTACCCAGAGTTCACCGTGCAGCCCAAAGCGTGAAGCTGGTCAACCTTCATTCCCAGATGACCGCACTAGGTCCTCTGGGTCCCTCCACAGCTCTGGGGGCGTCACACCAACTCGTCCTCTCTCCCGGGCTGACTCTACACGGTCGACTGGTTCCCTCAGTAAGCAGTCAAGTGAAGGTTCTCTCAAGCGAGGATCTACACGAAATATCAAGTCTTCTACGCGCATCACCAATAACAATAACAGAACAAAACGACCCCTGGCACCTGCTCAGGTTCGCACTGGTACGACTGCTGGCAACCGCAATCGGAATATAAGCGGGTCAAGCGGGTCACTCCGGAAATCGCCAGGATCGACACCCAATTCATCAGTTAAAGTAAAACGTGGAGATTCAGGAAGTTCAAAAGAGAATCTCTCGCGTTCTAATTCTGGCAACAGCCGGGCGGGAGGAACTTCCCGCACTACTCCTCGTACTACTCCTTCCCCGTCAAAGCCTCTGATGGATCGTTCCTCGAGCTTCCGTTCCTCACCACCCAAACCAGAGTTAGGTCCCAGAAGATCTACGGGCAGTACATCAAGTAAGAGCAACTCACCGAGGAAGGGAGGTAATCTTCCAGCATTTATGAGACCCACAACATCATCTTCCTCCAAGGTGAGTGCCAGTGACGCCCCACCCACCACCACACCCATTAAGAAGGTGAAAGTGGTGTCGCGCAACATAACACTTGCCACACCCCGTCCCATGGTTAAGTGAGTGACTCCTTCAACCCTCACAAATATATAAGCCTAATTATTAATTTTAGTGGTTAGCTCTCAAAGGGCTCTTGTCAGGGGGCTCTTGTCAGGGGGCTCTTGTCAAAGGGCTCTTGTCAGTGGGCTCTTTGTCAATGGGTTCTATGGACTTTATCATGGATTTAGTTTGTCCTCCAGATCTGAATTCATCAGTCAGTAGGTCTGATGTTGTAGAGAATATGACACACGAGGCGGACTATGTTGATGACTAGATTGTCTCCAACAGTAGGTAGACCTTGTCCTGTAGTGGACTGGACCTGTGAAGCTTTGTGCCATGTTAGTGTTACCCCTCTACCATGGCACCTCTGACCTACCCCTCTACCATGATGGCACTAACTTACCCCTCTACCATGGTGCCACTGACCTGCCCCTCTACCATGCCCCTCTACCATGGTGCCACTGACCTGCCCCTCTACCATGGTGCCACTGACCTACCCCTCTACCATGGTGCCACTGACCTGCCCCTCTACCATGGTGCCACTGACCCACACTGTCATCAGGGACTTCTTCGTTTATATTATCATATGATAATAAAAAGAACAAAATTAGTTAAACGAGTCTCTTAATAATATTTCTTACATTAATTTAACCATTTCATCAAACATTTTTAATATATAAGGGACTAGCAACTAGGAATTATAGATATGTGTGTGTGTGTCACGTGTAAATATTCACCTCTGCTAGTTGAAGTCCTACTCAGTCAACAGGTGTGTTTCCATTTACCTGATCATGTGAAAAATACTCTTTACCTGATGACAGATTTAGGTTATAGTCTTTTTGTAATGTTAAAACGGGTGACATGGCCGTTTTTTTTCTGTATTTACCAATGTAATAAATCTTTAACCTTTTTTTATCTAATTATTGTAATTATATAGTTGTATGTCATTAACATAGTTTTATATAAAGAAATATGCCAAAATCTGCTTCTGTGCTGTATAACAATTATGTAGTTACTGTACTGTAATGTTTTGATCAATAATATCTTGCCAGCTACATCCACCTATGTGCCAACTGTTACAATTGATGTTTGGTCTCACGTCTAGGTTCTGTATGGCAGGCAGTGTATTAACAAAGTCTAGTTGTAATGTATATGTGTGATGGATGTGTTTTACCTCCTCACACTACTTCATCTGTGATGCATTCCTATGAGATATGATTTATTATGTGCGAGTCCCAGCTGATGTTAGGATGGGCGTGACTGAGACCTTAAAGATGGTCACAGCCTTGCTCGGTTCGTCACCCAAAACATCGTTATTATTTTATAGGAATTTGTACTTCAGTAATTATTATACCACAATTTGTGTTAACTGGGACTAGATTAATATAAGCCGCTCGTGCTGTAACAATTAGGTGACTAAACCGGTTGTGTGTTATATTACATGGAAAGTGCTATGCCTTGTCCAAGTTAATGTACAGTTTTAATGTTAATTTATCGGACCAATGGCTTGCTTATAGTGTGTTTACTGCTGCTGCTGTCGCCGCTCCTGACGATGATGTTGAATAGCTCTATGTTGCTCCACTGCCTGTAAGGTGGCCAGTGTTAGAGAAATATCACAGAAAGGATAACTTATCTCATCTTATTTTTATAATCTCGAAACCAGACCTTAACCTAACCTAGCGATTGTAGGAATAGTTTTTTGGGTTAGGTGAAGTTAGATTAGGTCTTGGTGGTTCATATCACCTGAAAAAAGGTGAGTTTGTAGTCTTTTTAGTGGTAATTTTATAACATTGATCACATTCCTCCCAAGCCTTCTGTTCGTGTCTGCTCTTAACATTATTTTGTATAGACTGTGTATCAATTCTTAAAAAAATTAATTCACCTTTTTTCATAACATGGGTTTAATTTATATAATTATTCTCACTTGTGACTTTTTTATTATTATCTATGTATTTATATTTACTTTTACTACTGCATAGAAGAGAGTGAAGATAGTGTATATAGAACTTAGTGGTATATAATCAGAGGCTGAAAATTGTCATGAAATCTGTGTGTTTGTTTGTGTGTGTAGTGTCTTTGTGGGCTTGAAAATTATTGTCATGGTAATTTAAAACATTATAGATATTCAGGTTTGTTGAAGAGGAATTATATACTTACCAAACACACCTGAACTCATGTTAGTTCAGGTGTGTAAAGGTGGTATGTAACACACATGCTTAGGTTAACAGACACACTATATATGTCATCTTTACAAACATGCAGACATAGTTCCTCAAATGAAGCTATATTTAGACTTTTTTGAGACCCTGGTTTAACCCATTAATCAGGTCATGAAGACTTCACAACATTGTCATGGATGTGTGTATACCCAGATGTGTTTAGAAATTTACTTAAAAAAATCAAAATAATTTCCTTTCTTTTCCTAGTACAGTATAGTCTTACAGTACAGCCATAGTGAAATCAAATTTATCACTGCAAAAGTTGATGAATTAATTTTTTGTGTACATATTATGATGTGAACTGGTCCCCTGTTGTCGAATACAGAGATAAACGGTATGCACTTGAAGAATGATACGTTCTGATTGCTTGGTTTCATGACCTTTGAGATACGAGTTATAATGTAGTTTGAAATTGATGATTGAAAGTGAAATATTTGTCATGTTTTGGCCGCTACTTATCCCTTGTTTTGGGAGTCAGATGGCGTTGTAAAGATAGTATATACCTGTTGTCTCTATACATGACAACAGGGTACCAGTTTTACTCACCCTACCTTAGGCATTTCACAGCTGATAAAGGTGCTCTACTTAGCGTATTCTGTCAGGCTTTTTTTTATTTTTTATTATTATTTTTTTAATCCAGTGTGGCATGTCCAGACCTCAGTCACCAAGTTGTTGACTCAAGAGGTTGTACTTAGGTAATAATCTCTGTGGAAAGATGTAGTCAGTAGCCAACCTTTACTTGTACCACAGTGTACACCTCGGGCCATGTGTACACCAAGTCTGTGTACACCTCGGGCCATGTGTACACTAAGTCTGTGTACACCTCGGGCCATGTGTACACCAAGTCTGTGTACACCTCGGGCCATGTGTACACCAAGTCTGTGTACACCTCGGGCCATGTGTACACCAAGTCTGTGTACACCTCGGGCCATGTGTACACCAAGTCTGTGAGCACCAGTTGTATTTGACCATTTTAAGTCCAAAGTAGATGATCTTTATTGACCTTGTGTGAAGAAGTTGACAAACGAATGACCCAAGATGATTTTAAATGGAAAGTTGACCATCTAGTAATGACCTCAGTGTAATTATGCAAAAGTCGAATGTTTTAGATGTCTTGGGTGTGTGTGTGTGTGTGTGTCCAGCAGTTATTACCCAGACGTACACATGTCAACAGGTGTTCAGAAGATCTTGGGCTGCAGGTACAGTATATAAATTAACTTTCATCTTACCTACAGAGGAAGAACTTACTCGTACACTGTACATCTAGTTACTGTGTAACCATTTTTTTCTTGTTTTGTACAGCGGTCGATAGTGATTCTTTTATGAGATAACTTAGTTCTTATGAGAGATATTTATTGCCAGTGAGTTGAGGGGGACTCCTCGGCTCAGTTACCCGACACAATGTCCCAAAATCTATGTGATGATAATAAACTTAATAACTAAATCAAACTGTTGTAAAAAAAATATATATGGATGATAATTGAGTATAACTGCCTCACCCTCCCGTCCTGCAGATTCATAGTCAGGTCCTAATAACACTTTTGTATTTATTTTGCTAAATACTAATGTTATTTAACTTTAGAAATTAACTTGAATAATCTTTTTTTATTATACAGTATGTGATTCCAGAGATAATGTAACTAAATACATTTTTAGAATACAATAAATATTACTGTGATGCTGTTGTATTATTCTACCACCTCTTGTATTGACCTCTTGTATTAAAAACTTCTAAACTACACTACTCTTCTTTTTTTTTCATTGCGGGGGCTTATTTTCGCTAAATTATTCCCTAAAGGTTAATTTGAATTGAAAATGGACCACAAATTTGAAGTTTTAATGTATAATCGTGTTCGAAGCTTCAAATGTTTCAATGAAGCATCAAAATGATTCAATGAAGCTTCGGTGACGTCACTCTGAACCAAGGATATAACTGAACGACGTCGCCTTCTTCACTCACTGGCTGGAGCTGACACGGGCAGGTAAGGCTCATAACCCTGCTCTTCTCTTCTTCATTATATACGTGTAATTGTTTTTTCCCAGAACGTGTATGTGCACAGTGATCAGGAGAAATAATCATTCTTTTGGGATAGTGTTTAGTATACTTAATTATGGCGTAATAAATGCTGATTTAAGTAAATAGATTGCTGGCCGGTTGTTGAAGTTCTCTTACCTCATTTGCCACGAAGGTAAACGAGCCTAAACTAATCAGCCAGTGGCGGGTAACGAGGGTAAATCGTACTTCAGTATTTTCGTAATAATTACCTAGTAAGTGTGTACAATGACCAGATTAGGTTAGATTACTATTTTATTTTATTTTATTTCACATGTTACCACTGCTTCTAAGCCCAGCCCACTTTTGGCGGAACCGGGTGGTTATAACTCAATAATTACGCATTTTCCCAAACTTTCATCACCGCCAGTGTATTCTCCATTAAAAACTGCTCTAGAATAAGTTGGTTTAACGAAAATATATATTTTTTTTCTCGGAATAATTAAGGTATTTCCTGAGGTAATCTTTCCCGAGATTTGTATTTGTTATTAGTTCGTTGTTTACTGTTTACCTACGATTTCTGGGGCTTGAAATTAATAGAATTTTAAGTTGTTAAGAGATTTAGCTGGTCGAGGGTGAGGCGAGGCGGGGCGGGGCGAGGCGAGGCGAGGCGGGGCGGGGCGAGAACCGGCCGTTTCAGAAGGTCTTCGTTGGGTGTGTTATAAAATACATTATATAATAAATACAGTAATATTGAGGGCTTCTTAAAATAATTGTTTTAGCTTAACATACATAAAATAAAAATTTAATCTAATAGATGTGCAGGCACACCTGTAGCGAGATTAGTTTATGTACATATGCCGTTATCACCCTAAATCATGCATAAATTAAGTATAATTACTGCAAAGTCTCTTGACTAGGCTTCCCAAGTACACCTGACCTCGAAAAGGCAAAATATTAAAGATTAGTTTATGTACATATGCCGTTATCACCCTAAATCATGCATAAATTAAGTATAATTACTGCAAAGTCTCTTGACTAGGCTTCCCAAGTACACCTGACCTCGAAAAGGCAAAATATTAAACGGCTGATCGTAATTGGCTTGTGTAAAATTACTCTCTTGTTCTCGATAGTCTTGTAATATTCGATAAAGGCATTTCATATTCTCTTTTATAAGGTTAAATATTATTGTTCACTTATTTTTCATTATGGCAAGACATTTATAAAGATGACGTCAAAATGTATTGGTAAATAAGGTAGCAACTGTCTAATTAACCTGTGGAAAATGTTTGAATCACCTGTAAGATTCATGTCCCAGCCTTCCTTTTCCAGCCACACTCCCTCCTTCAGCCACCCCACCACCACACTCCCCCCTCAGCCACACCACCACCACGCTCCCCCTCAGCCACACCACCACCACCTCCCCCCCTCAGCCACACCCCACCACCTCCCCCTCAGCCACCTCCACCACACTCCCCCCTCAGCCACACCCACCACCTCCCCCTCAGCCACACCTCCACCACACTCCCCCCTCAGCCACCCACTCACCAGGCTTGCCAAATGTTGCTAAAACCACAAATTTGAGAAACTAAGAGTGAATGAAATATTTTGGTTAGTCTCAGTTAATGGTGGTCGATGAATGAGCCTTGGTTCTTTTAATTGTTTATGTATCATTGCATACTTAGAAATTCATGGAGTATTAAATGTGGTACAGGTCGTTTAAATGTAACAATCAGAGTATAGTTGAAACACTTGATCTAATCCTCTCTAATATAAACCTAACCTAACCTAACCTCAAACATAACTTAACCTAATCTAATCTAACTTAACATCAAGTAAAAGAAGAGACAGACAGATACAGTAAATAGATATATACACTAAATAGGTATTCAGTAAAGGTATCACTGTCTCATTATTGACAAACTTTAATGTGAATTTTATGACCATTGTTTGTATCTATCATGGTCATTCCTTGGTTAAATCTACTTACTGTTTACCATTATTCTTATACCTCCACTGTCTATCTATCTGTAAGACAAGATGTACAACATGAAAGGTTAAAAAGTTTCTTAACATCCCGACCACCACAACACTGACGCCTCTGAACCTGAGTCGATGCTGGTGATAATAACTGTGTGTTGAAGAGTACCTGGGCCATGGTCGGTCCTGTTGAAGCCGAGGCACTTGGTAGAGCAAACACAGTTGAAGATTAACCCACCCACCCACATACTTGACTGTACAGTATGTAGATTGTCCAACACACAACTTGACAACTGTGATGTTATTTGTGTGGATTAGATCATAAGGGGACTATCAGGGTTTAGACTTTGAATGATGTTAAATAGGGATGACACTAGAAGGACTTTGGTGTTTACGGAAGACTTTGTTACTTGGGTTGACACCTCTACCCAAGAAGTACAAAAATGCAGATGTCGCCATTCATACAAGAAATTTAGTGCAGTATGCCGCATCAGCTCTTGTGCCCACTTCGCCTGTAAGTCACATCAGCTGTCATGCTCACCTCGCCTGTCTTGTTCATCTGCAATATTGAAATCTTCCAAGACATATTAGTTGACACAAGACAAGTGAAGACATGGTGCCTGGGTCTTGCTACAACCTCTACTGTTGGTTAAGGTAAATACTGAACTATTTACTGTTGTGTACTTGAGGGGACCGACCACCGTCCAGGTTACATTACTGCACTCTATTAACAAACCACATATTTTTTAAGTTAATTTACAATAAAGGTTAGTGAAAATAATTCTTGTTATGTAACTTTATTACCAAAAAACACAACTTACATATAATACAAGTTATTATCAATATAGCCAAGCTATCTATTCTTGGACTATTTAAACCAACATTGCTTAGACTTCGCCTATAATCACAAACTGAACATAGAAGTGTATTCGTTCAGAGCCCACCTATAGTAAGTTACATAAGCAAATAAGTTATGATAATAATAACTTCTTGTTAAGTTCCTTTATTAATAAGTATAAATGTCTGACACTAAACAAAATCAATTACAGATTTACTTACAGCAAACAGATGAAAACTAGAACAGTCTTTACAAAACAATAGTAACTATAGATATTTAAGCTGTACTTGAAAATATTTAAGTGACCAAATTTAACTCACTAGGATTCTTGTTACTTGTTATTTTTTGTTAAATTTTGAATTATACAGACTGACATCTTACAGTAGTTTTATTCACAAATAGACGGTCAAGTTTGCAGTGAAAATAAAATATAAAGTAGATTTAATAGAAATTAATATTTATACACATAAAACATTACCACTGACAGTCAAATTAATGTTGAAATCAATATAGCAGCACTTATGAATATTTACATCGACAGACAAGTCAATGAGATAATCAACATTTAGTTCTAAGAGTTAGTGACAAAGTTAATGTTGAAATTAACATCATGTTTTAGCCCCAATTATCACTACAATCAATAACATTGTACCAAAGCTCCATTTTACTCACCAGGGTCGTGTTTATATCCAAGAAGAATGTGTTGGTGCATTCTTTTTTTATTCTCAGACATAAACCAGCCACTACATACCATCCTCATCTACATTCTTAGGCAGCAAATGATGATGATAGTCTATAAACCATTCTATTCATCCTCATTACCATCATCATTTACCCAAATCTATGCTCTAAACCACAGAACATGGGGATGATAAACTAAGGTTGTTTATTTAAGGTGAGGATGAGGATGGTAGTCCACATTTTTGTTCACAATCTTCATAAGGATATTGAAAGTCCATTTTTTATCATAGACAGGAAATGAAGATGAATGTCTAAATTCCCTGTGAGGAAGACAAAACATATAAATCCAAATCCTTCATTATTAAAAACAAGAAATGCTGATGCCCTAATTTTTCATTTCCAAAGAGAAAATGTAGATATTGAATCCATATTTTAGGTTCTTAAAAACAAGAAAAAATATGGAAGCCTAAATTCTCATTTTAAAAATAGAAAACACTGATAGTAACCCAAATTCTTGTTTTAAAAGACAAGAAATGAAGATAAAAGCCTAAATTCTCGTTTTCGAAGATCAGAAATACTGACGGTAATCCAAATTCTCGCTTTCAGAAGACGATGGCATTACCTAAACCAGCACATCCATCCCACCGAGAAAACTTCACCGTCCCTCTATCTGGAATGACAACCACGGAGGAAGAAGGCAATGCAGCCAACGATGGCAAGGAGAATGAAGAGGGCGTCCAAGATTATGATCCCGTAGAAGGCCAGGTTGAACAGACTCATGTTACAACCATTCTCGAACCAGTAGTGGGCGTAGTCTGGTGTCTGTGCCCAGGCTTGGTATACCCAGACGTTCCCTGTTGACGTACAAATTTGAGATAATAAGGACGAATTATTAGTCAAATTAAAACGAGAGAAATAATAGTTAAATGGGGAAATGAAAATTAATGGGGGAAATTACTAGTGAATAGAACAAGAGCTACAGTAAAATTAAAGATAACAATAAGTTAAATTAGCTACACAAAGGAGAAATAGGAATTGAATACAAAAAGCACAAATCTATAACAATTGGGCATGTGAATAGGGATTAAATAGGTAAAATATTGGGTATATACATAAAATAAGTGAAAAGTAAGAGCTAAATGGGTAAAATAGGAAAGGGAAATTAGGATGCATTGATGGAAAAAAAAAGCAGGTGATAAATGGGATGAATTGGAATACAACGGTGGAAATCATCCGCATACATGGTAGTTTTCTCCTAAATAGGGTAAATAAATGCTGAATATTGTATACCATTTTACAAGCCATTATCAGATATAACAGGATACAGTTTGACATAAAATATACCCATACATACATCAGCCACCTCTAGACATACAACAACATGCTCACACATACTATACAACATTTTCAAGCATACAAACATACTAAGACAAAATACAACATACTCCGACATACTGATACAAAATACTCAGACATACCTCCTGTGAACCAGGCGATTGTGGCTAAGGAAATAACAAAGCCGACTAGTTTAATAGGGAGCGAGACACTGCCATTCTTGGATGTCTTCTTAGCTGCACCTCCGATGCCAATTCCGAACAGCAAGATGATCCCTATGGTATACAAAGACACAGGTTAGTACATTATAACTGGTTGGTTGACACAAATTGGTTGTATTATGGTTGTATAGTGATTTATTTACCTCTTAATTGAAAGGTGATTTATTAAATTAACTCTGTGGTTGAATAGTGATTTATTTAATTGAAAGAGGTGAAAAATGAACAAGACCACCAAATGATCCGCATGAACATTGAACAATAGGATAACTCGCCTTGAATAATGAGCCATATGGGGATCATAGGCTCGATGGAACAATTGTTCATGTTGATGGCTCCCATGATGATGAAAGTGATGCCAAAGATGGGGATGATGATAGAGGCTGCGATGATCACAGGCCACTGGATCAGAGACGCTAAACACCATCCTGCCAACACCAAGCACAAAGTGGGATTACTTGTCATACAGTTGTGATAAGATAGACAGCTGAGATATGTCATAAAGTTGGGATAAGTACAGCTGGGATAACATATACAGTTGGGATTACTTATCATATAGCTGGGATAACAAGTCATAGTGTTACTGTTAGGATAATATACTTTGGTACTGATAAAATACTGATATTAAGGTAACATGCTTTACTTTAAGATTTCTTGGGGACAAATTTTAGGTTAACAATAGACTAAATGTACTTAAACTTAGAGTTGTTTTGTGGTATTGTATGTGTGTGTGATTAACTTTGCTCTCTATCTGTTGTACAAGTTCTTAGAATATCAGCTTACCACAGCCACCCTCATCCTCGTCCCCATCATAACTGGGCTCTGGAAAGAAGAAAAGAAACTAGAGTAACATTGCGTCCTCCGAAATAAGATACACAAACCCGAAACTTCCCATCTCTCCTAATGTTTATTTTTTTATAAACTACGGTGATTATTAACTTGATATGCGTACTTAAAGACCAAGCTGTTGAGGCACAGAAATACATTATAACATCAACACAACAATGTGAGCCATTCTAAATTTGAAATCCAAAATGCTTTCAGTTTAAATTTAAACATGACCATAACTTACCGTTACAACGAACATAACGTCTCTCGTGTTTGAGTCACCATCCGCCATTGTCAAGATAAGATAAAAGGCCGGTGGAACACCCTATCAGCAGAAGATAACAGCCACCCCGAGTTGAAACTATATCATCCCGGATCCGGATTTTCAATAATTCATACATTAAATCCTGATTCTAAGAATTCATTCGGGAATTACAAATTCTCAACGACTCTTACGTTAAAAACAAAATTCTCAAAATAATTGTAGGTAGAAATTGGATTTTAAAAACTTGTTACATTATCAAGTCACTGATCATATTAGAGCGTTGACAATTTAGACACACGGGTAAAGCCATAATGGAGTCTCTATGACATGGTGTATATACTTAGTTTTCAGTTAATATCAATACATGAGAACTTGCTTTTGCATTATATACAAATCTCTAATTTCTTACTATATGAACCAGGATGTGAGTCAAAGGTCAGATTATCAGAAGACGTTATCTGAGATTACCACAAATATTACCTCAACGCAATTTCCTTCTATCAGACTGGCCAAGTGTTTTGACTGACTCATCAGTGGTTGATTTTTTCATTACTGTATTTCTAAACTTAAGTTGATTGTTTTCGTTTTTTTCTGACCATTGGCCAATTGTTTTCATTGTCTCACCATCAATCTCTTCAATAAGCAATAAGACATCTAAATGGTGAAAACATACTAGCATACAATGATGGCTGCCAAAATGGTGTCAACTTAACCTTTCCCTTATGACAATTTCACTTGAGTTTAATTGCTGAATCATTACACTTACTAGAGGCAATGAAAAGTTTGTGTTGAAAGAAAGTTTTACTGGTGTTATTAGTTAATGACCAGTGAAGCCATGGAAACAAATATAGCAGCTTGTGTTAAGGTATTTCAAGCGATTCCTGCTGGTCTTGGTAGGGTTGCTAAAATCCTTCATCCGTTGCATCTTATTTTTTTAACACAATTTTGTATAGATAGTTTCTTGAGTGAATGTACAGTACAGCCAACTCCTATTGTGTTAAGGTATTATTGATAGAGGCGATAAAAATAAATACTGTACGGTTGTTTGTGCCAGTGTGTAGCCAATCACTAACAGAAACGTTGTAAACAAACATGGCAGGTTGTGGCAGAATGTTCCAGCCAATCGTATACAAGTGTGATGCAAACAAAGATGGTGGCCACAGTAATATACCGGGCATTCACCAATTGCAGTGCTGATGTTCCATGTATCCAACAAGTTTCTAATCAAATTTTAACATAAATATACTTTACAGATTAATAGACAGAAGAATATAATGATGGCATGGAGGTGAAACTGGAACATATGTGAATAATAATTTCAAAGACCTTAGGAGTACAAATTCTAAATACATTTACAGTATGCATTACAGGACCCTGTTGCTTCACATTGAGTACAGTCATAGTGAAAAACATGTAGTTAGGTATGAGCCAGGGAGGACAAAAGATAAGATGATAAGGATATGAGTGTACTGCTGATAATGATATTTTCAGTCCCAGATAACAGATCTAAGCCCCCTCAACACACTTGCTCCCATGAGTCTAATATCAAGCTTTTTTATATATTATAATTTTCTTCAATACATAATGGCCCATGTGTGTTGAATCATTATAAAGTACAGTATAGTGATTATGTACCATTAGGTCTTACAGTAGTTGTCTTATGTTGGTCATAAAGGTACCATCTATGTATCACGCAGCAGCCTTTTTGTTTCGGGTAACATTAGCTTCTTATGTTACTTGGCCATAGTCTAAAACTATTTGACACCATCTTTACTTTGTCGATCAAAATGGTTTACAGAATGAAAGACTGACCAGATAATTATCACCTAGGGCTATTTAAAAAATGTTCTTTCATTCAGTCAGAATTGGTAATTACAAAGGTAAAGATGATGTAGAGAGGAAAAGGGCAAACTTACTATCAGGTTCTTCCCTGCGTGTGCGTGGTAGTTGAGTGCCACGTGGCATCCTGCTGGGATCCTCTGCGTTCTCAAATATGCTTTGTTGTGTCTGTGCCTCTACCTTCTGCTGGATGAGCCTGTGTTCCTCTTCCTGCTGCAGTTGGATCCTGTGCTCCTCTTCCTGCTGCAGTTGGATCCTGTGCTCCTCTTCCTGGTGCAGCCGAGTCTGCTGCTGTTCCACCACCTGCTGCGGTTGTTTTTCCTCTTGTTGGATCCTGTGCTCGAGTTCCTGATGAATCTTCTGCTTAAGGGCGTCACTGATCTGTGGTTGTCCTGGTATGCTGTATCTCTGTTTCTTCAATGCACTCTTGCTCGATTCTTCGTCCAATGAGCTCTGACTGCCTCCCACAACCTGTGGTGTGTTAAGGTACCTCTAGTTAATACCAACTGATAATGACTTTACAACCAACTCCTTATTGCTCCTCACTACTGGAGAATTTAGTTCTTATCAAAATAGTGTTTTCAATTAATCACAAATCCTTCAAGGTATGAAATCCTAATGCATAACACTGTCAAATGAAGGGTCTTTCCTTGTAACATAAAAACTCAATACTATGACACAAATATGTCAGGAAAATGAGCCAAAATAATAACACTTTAACAAGATACTTTTCCATAATTCTCCCTCTAATTGGAAAGGAAACATTTATCATAGTCTTGGATAATTATAGTGGTGTTATTTGTGAAAAGGTAACCATCATTAACCAGTACAGTACTCATTTGTGAGGTTTTAAATATAGGTTGAACGTATATGAATGATAAAGGTCAAGTGCAAACAGGAGCCTCCTCGCCTGGGCCAACATTTATCCTGCCGTTTCATTTATTCTTGTGTTCTTATTACCAAATAAAAAATCACACTATTGTTTATGTTTGAGTAATAGTCTTGTCGCTATGTCAATTAATTACTTTCCCTAACAAAAATGTTTTCATATATTAAAGCTATGGAAAAACTTCAACGTAAGAATCTCTGTGAATCCAGGACTTAACAAATATGTGAACTGTAAATTGAAACGACATGAAACATTACAGAACAAAGGTTTGGGCCATATGAATGAGTTAAACTGGCACACAGTAAAACACGACCACACCTCACCTCAGTCAAGTCCACATCAACAAATGAAACACTTCACACAAGGCAAAGAATCACTAGGCCTAGGAAGTGGTTCAAGCAGGCAGCCTCAACTTAAACACTAAATAGTTTATCATACTGTACTAGCAAATTGGATGGGTGAAATAGGTCAGGTGATCCTTAGAACACTGAACACTTCCTCCTGTAAAAGCAGACTACGCACGACTGCTGTACAGAGGGTGGAGCTCTCTTATCTATTCGAGCATGTCAGATACCACCTACAATTCACTAAGCTCGTAACACAAATAAACCCGAATTGGTTTTAAAAAAGTGAAAGTTGATCTAAAGGTAAATTATTAAATTGTTATTTTGATTATTATTTAAGATATAATGTGGTTATTTTAGTAACTGATAAGGCAATAATGGTTTTCATACCTATCTTATTAACAAGTTACACTAACACACACACAAACCATCACAAGCCTACTGCCGGTAGTATTTGATGTTTTTTGAATGGTGTTCCTGCTATTGCTGTCACTGTTGTCTTCTGTCACCAATACTGATACACTATACCAGTACTTACCTTCACATTGACATTATCAGTCACCAGGTCCAAGATAAAAGAAATTCCAGAGGTTTACATGACTTACAAGATTGTGCATGTGTAGTGGTTCTCCAGTCCAGTTATGGTGTGGCCTCTCTTTAACTCTCCTTCAACACTATCATACCAGTCTAGCTGGTGTAGTTACTGTTTAATAACAGATTGGTTTTAAGGATTATTAGACATGTTAAATCATCTATATCATTGAAGGATCAACCAATGTCGAACTCTGGCAACTGAGATTAGATAAGGACAGTGGGTAATCTTATCAACACTCGCATCTTACTGTACTTACCAATGCTTAGGTCTCGATTTCAAGCCTTGATTCTCACAGTATTGTAAATGAATTCTTCAGCCCCCAAAATATAGATTATAGAAGGAAGATAACTTGCTCACTTCAGCTATGGCACACCAAAATGACAGGCAAAACAATTGAAATTACAACTGAAGCTAACATATCGACAGTAGATGCATTTCCTTATCCTCAAGGAAAAAAATTAACTTGGAAATCTCTTAAGAATACAATACAAAGTTGGCTCCAGCTAGCAAAAAATATATACTGTATATACCCCAGTATATATAAATCGGCAGTAAATTGCATAAAATAACCAAGGTTGCATAGAAAGGACCCACTTCCGCTTTATACGATACTGCAGTTTGACGGAAATTGCGTAGTTTTAATTATTAAGGTCAAGCCCAGACATATCTTATCAGTGGTAAAGTTAATGTTCCTATATCCGGATTCTAAAAGGTTCTCAAGTGTCTCTGGACTTTCACCCGGAACCAAAATTTCAGATTTCCACCCAGGAAACTATTACATAAATCTACCCTCAGGGAAATAAGAAAATAGACACAGCACTACACAGAGAGGCACTTGGAGTCCACTGCATCTCTCCCCAGCCTTGGGTTCAACCGTGTCCCTTGCTAATGCACCAGGATAAAAGTTCACTTAATTTTTTTTACAATTTGACTTGCAGGTAAGCCCCAAGATTCTATCGCCAAGGCCATCAGAAACAGACTTTCTCAAATTTATGACTTTCAATGACCAATTAATCTCACTTTAATTGAGCACGATGCGTATGCTAGCATGATTATGTCCCGGACTATATCCATATGGCTTTCACTTGACCAAGACTTGTCCCATGATATAAGGATCGAGACAGAGAGATGGACTAGAACCTCACAAGAGCTGAATGTGTCAGTGTAGTAATGAGTGTAAGATGAGCAACTGGTCAACTGCCTTATGTAGGCCCACTGTCCGCAAAGTTACTCCGTTGATTTTCTCTGCAATAAATGACATTTTTGCAAGTCAATGTAAAGCGTAGTCCTTCAGGTATGTGCATTTAGTGCTTTTTTTTTGTACTGTACATTTAAGTTCTAATATTTTTTATGTACACCAATTTAATTTTATTGGGGCCTTTTTCGGTTTGTTCACGAATTTATTTACCTTATTGTTTTTTGCAAACTTTTTGTTTTGTGAACTTATTTAGTTTTTCTCACTTTAAAGTTATGTGTTTTAATGTATAGCAATTTTATTTGGACAATACAAATTATACTTCTTTGTTTTTGTAAACATTTTGTCAGTTAATTAACTATATAGAAATGAATGAAGACAACAAAGAAGTTTATACAAGACATAACTATCACATTACATTCATAATGAAAATGATCCCCATGTTTTCTTCCAAAACAGTTTTGGGAAAATAATATGACAGTATACTTTAATAAGTCTTCATTTTCATAAATATACACATGATGAGCAGCTGAGTTTGTACAAATGAACAAAGGACTACATGTAGCACATAAAGGCCTCCTTGTTATCAGTATTGGACAATCTATTGAAATACTGTACTGTAATAAGGTCCATAATTCAAGGAAATATAATAAAAGATACTTAGTATGGCAGAAACTATTCCAACATAGTCTTCTGATTTTTCTATTTTCATCATGTCACTGATGTGTAATCCAATGAGCTCCTCAAAACTGAAGTAAGTCTTGACGAGCTACACTGTGGCGGAATGACGGTGATGTAACGTGAAGCACCTGCTGATGATCTATTCCTCCTCTTCCACCTGCCCATAGCGATGCTTGATGTGTTTCCATAATTTCTGTTGGTGGAATGTTCAATATAGTATCACATTTCCATATCATAAAATAAAAAAGGCATCACAGAATCATTAAAATATTAACCAGATTCTTGCCCTCAGTAACATCCTATGGTGCTGTGTGTTATCCATACTATCCGTGTCAAGCATAAGAGGCAGAGTCCCCCCCACCTTTCATACAGTTTAAGGAATCAAAACCTCACAAAGCACACACCTGAAATATCCAATAAGTGTCGACAGTGAAATAATATGTATCTGATTATCTATCTACGTTATAAGGCACTTGGTGTATTGCAGAACTATATTACTGTGCTGATACATGTTGGACAGAAGAGAACCTATCTAACAGAGCAGCATGAAATTATATAGCTCTATCGTTTAGGTCATTCAGAAAATTTTAGGATTTTAAGTTACCACCGACCGAGAGGTTAGGTTGAAATTATGTTTTACCGATAGTTTTTGATGTGTTGTAAATGATTCTGAACTACAAATAGGTTGATGACCAAACGATACTTTTACAATTATCTTCTTCGATAGTCTGTATATGTTAATGCAAGTCTACCATTGACCCAGGAACTAGGTCATGAAGGTCATATGTTTGGTTAGATTACATCCCACTTGGACGATTCCCATTTGTGCCATCGTCTATTTTATGCGATTTAGAGTAATGTAACCTAGTCAGATAATTTAATTAAGATGGTAAAAATCACATAAAACAGACGATCATCCAAGTGGGATGACACCGTCTGGGTACACTTCCAGGTCACTTTTTAAACTTAATAATTTTTATCCAGGTCAATTATTCCACTTAAAACATATTTTCTGGCCCTTTAAACGAACAATATATGTGATCAAAAAAAGATAAATTTTTAAACAGGTAAATAAGGTTATTGCATCACCGGTGCCAATCAGCTGATGACCGTCAACACGAGTTACTTATAGCCTAAAAAAAATATACCTCATATAACTACTACAGTAATATTAGTGACATATGAATAGAGAGAGAGACAATATTAACATTCTTATCAGTTTTACATAAGAAAATGGTAAGATATACGAGCCAGACTTACACCCTGGTTAACATTGTCGTATATTCCATCAGAGATCATGTCAAATCCTCGCTCGAACATGAAAGCACCAAAGACAGCCGCTAACACAAACGAGGATGTCCGCCTGAATACATTTTGGTACACCTTAGAGACGAGACCAGCCATTGTCGTTAACGTTGACCGACTTGGTGTGGTGAGGGGGACGTCCTCTGCGATTGTGTCTATAACTTTACTAAAATTATGACTTAAGATCAGCAAGTATAAAAATAAGTATAAAAATAATAATAGACATATTATTTTTACTAAATTTAGATATAATTATTATATTAAACTTTGCATGAAATTTTTGTTTTGTTTACATATAGAATCGTAAACATCTGACAGCTGTAAACCGCAATAATTATTATTTTCATTTGGAGTTTTATTATTCTTTTTATTCTAAATTTTATCTGAATAAAATATATAAAATTAATATATTACCCCAAAAATATGAATTATTGGAAATTTGTAGACCTACCATAGAAAAGGGCAATGACCAAAGGGTTTGTCCCATTGGTCAAAGGGTGACGTCACACCAGCTCTCAACCAATCAAAACGCCGATAGTCTGTGTTTTGGATGTATACCTTCCTCAGTTGCTCAATCAAACAATGACTAATTATTATACCTTTATACAGCAATAAATACACCATTAATAAACTACTCAGATATTAAATATAGTTAAGATATATATATGTTGTATATAGGAGAATAATCAATACCGTAGAGTCGATGGAAATATATAATAAATAAGTGAACTTGGCACCTGATCACGTGGGGTCTGGTCGGGGAGCCTTGACAGTGAACGTCACTTGATATGTGTGAATTATTCCTTTAATAGATCAATGTAGATATAGTACAGGTATGTGTAAAAGGCTGTGAACGGGAGAAAATTTAGTCTTGTGATTGAAATTTGTGTAAAAGGCGAGGGAGGAGTTGATGGGAGGAGAGGCAGCAAGGAGGGGCCAGTGAATTTTTTTTTTATTTTTTTTTGTTTTTTTTATACATGAACGATTCCCTAACCTGTATATTTATTTATCTGGGATTTGAGTAAAGACAAGTGGTACTGAGAGAACATGTGGTGTGTCCTGGGAAGTGTTTCAAGAGAAGAACAAGTGTCTGGTCCTAGAGTCGGCTGACAGGTGTTCCTTGGTTTGTCTCGCAGGTGTTTTTGTAATTAACTAATAATTGTATGTAATGCTTTGTACACACCTTCACTTAACTCCCTGCTGTAATATTCCAGTAAATATCCCTAGTTTTGGCTACCATCCAGTTAATATAGCCCAGTCCCTGATGCTGGCAGCTATATACTTATGATAAAACACTTCAATGAAAAAATATTTGGTATTTATGGAAATTCTGTCAATTTGTGTTTCCTATTTACATATATTTAGACTGAATTATGTAAAGAATAATCCCGGATAAGGTTAAAATAAACGGTAATAAGCAGTGTGTGTGACCATAAGCACAGCCAAGGACATAATGTGAATGTATCTTAAAAAAATGTTATAATTTGATTTGATGGTTTTAAGTGTTTGTTTAGTCTCTGATATATAGATTAGGTTAAATTACAGTGGTGAAGAGAGTGAAAGTAAAAGAAATATTGAAAAAAAATGGCTTCTGTTGGCCTCTACTGATTCTTTAGGTCTGAAGGTTGAAGAGAGTAGCCATTATACTTTTTCATATATTAATGGGGTATTTACTGATATATTTGTTTTAATACATTTAATTCAAATCATGTGGGGAGATAAGAAAAAATAATTAGTATGCTCAGTTTAACTCAATGACTGAAATTATATTTTTAATGCAATTTTTAATGTGATTTATTCTCAGGTGTAAAATAATACGTCATGTTAGATGTTAAAGGAAAATATAGTGTAAGGTTTAAATTCTCTATAACAATATTTACTGTATTGGTCCAAAATCCTTGACGGAGGAGCTATAGTTTAGTGATTGACGAGACGAGTGTTTTGTTTTACGGGCGTGTTCGCCTATTGCTGTTGATACTTAGATAAAAGGTATATTGAAGGCAAATATTATAACTAAACTTGTATAATAAATCTGGATCACCTGAAGAATCACCACCCCAGCTTATTTCACCTGAAGATTAACTACCTTAATGCTGACTTAACCTAACTTAAACCTATTCTATCCTAACCTAAATCTAGCCTAACATATCCTAACCTAACCTCATCCTCCCAAAATAGTTTTAGTGTGGTTAATCTTTAGGTGAAATACACTAGGATGGTGATTCTTCAGGTGATCCATAAATCTAAACGTTTGTGTAATTAATCTGCAGAGATCTTTTACTTCAAATGCTGCCCAGTGGTGGCTGTGTGGTCTCATGATGCTAACCTAACCTAACCTAACCTAATCTGACTTAACCTTACCTCACCTTACCTTAATATCTTGTAGACCACACGTTACAGTAGCACTTGTCTTATAGTCTGATATTTTCTGCTTTTTCCAGACTGTCTAGGCTTATTAGTTTTAGCCAAATAATACAGAAGGCTGCGTCATTGTGGTAGACCATAGAGCTGCTTGAGGTAAAGAATTGGTGGTGTATATCGACATAAACTAACTTGAAAAAACTAACCTAACCTAACCTTACCTTACCTTACCTTGCTGTAGAGTAAAGTACGGTACCTTATTATTTTTGGGGGTCCGTCTCCCTGTATGAAAAGTGGAATTGGTATTATCGTTTCGGTCATCCTGCGAATTTAAGGATTTTAATTTACCACCGTCCGTGAGAGGTTTAGGTTAGGTTGAAATTATGAATTTCCGGTGTTTTTTTGTTTTATGTGTTTTGAACGATTCTGACTTACTTCAAAATAGTTGGATAACAGGAACGATAATTTTACCTGAAAATCAATGTAGAGTTACGTCCATATCTGCTAACAAATCCTAACCCTCCTGGAAAGCAATGTACTGGTCTCTGTTGTTGTCACAGATGATCACGAACAAGCCTTTGACATTCTGAGCAGAACTTGAGAATTTTCACAGTAATGAGTATTGTGTGAGGCATGGCAATTATAAACCACTGCCACGGTATCCAGTGAAAGATTTTATTTATATTAGTGTGTGATGAGGAACTGACACACGTATCTTGTATATCTTGTTGTGCATAGATTTTGTTAATTATTGTTTTTGGTGGTTCATTAGTTTTTTCTTAAATTCCAACTACATTATTTCCACATCAGGAAAAATGGCATCTTCTCAAATTTTAGTATAATGTCTGGTTCAGCCTATGTATCCAAGGATGGAAGTACTACATTACAGTGATATCCCCATTAGCCGGGACAATTGGTGTAGAGAACTTTCAGGAATGAGAGATTTCCGGGTCACGAGACGACGACTCTCAAACCCGGAAAAACATCTCCCATCCCCGGAATTTTTCCGGGAATTGGAAAAAGTTTTTTGGAATTTCTGGAAATTGCACGTTATTTCATCGTCGTAATTTACTCCCAGACACCGGAAAGAAAATTGGAGGGAGTTTCAGGAATTTAAAAAAAAAGAAGCCTGATTTTCAGTCTGATTAAATCATTCCCAAACACGGAATTGAGATAAAATTTCCAGGAAATTCTGAGCAAATATCAGTTCTGGCTAAGAGAGCTTCCAGCTAATGGAGATATTTACTGGTACAGTACAATACAATATTGCGTTATTATTTTAGGGAAGGTTAGTTAGGAAAGGTCATATGGAAAGGAAGGAAGGCATGTCAGACATTTGCTAGCTTGGAAGTGTTCCATTTCTTTGCATTTGGGATTAGGTGGCCACTGTGCAGTGTTTGCCTATAGAGACAGATACACATGGCAGTGTCTTTAGTTACAGGGAAAATCTTAAGTAGCTGCTCCTAAAATATTACAAAAGATGGATCATACAGTATGTATAGCTGTGTTTCAATTGAAGGCATATAAATATGAACCGTGAATTTTTGAGAAGTGTCATATAGTTGTGTAAAGCTTAAATATCTTGAAACCTATTTTCTCCAAGTCCTAGTTGAACCTTACTAACTAAACCTTTAGTGAGAACCTTCTACAAAACAGCAATACAGTACAGTACTGTACAATAAACTGTACTATATTAATGTAAGGGTGTAGGGATGGGTCGCTAGCTTATTATTACGGTACAGTACTTGGAAACTTTTGAGAGGATCTTTCTGTGAATGTATATTTTAATGTATTAAAATTCAAACTAGATGTTGGAGAAAGTTAATCTGCAAATGTGAGAACTTCTATAAATTATGATAAGTGCCTATAATGAAGCATGTGGTCTTACCTGTCCACACTTGGGTCAGGACTCTCATTAAGGAATATCAGAGAGCACAGGAAACCAATTAGGCTATTTTTAAGTAGGTTAGGCTAGATTTGTGTGCTTTGCTGCTGCTTCTGCTTCTGTGGCTTTAAGATGAACATTCAGTACCAGGAAAGATCATATCATAACCCTATTCAACACCCATACCAGTTACACTTTAATAACTAAATTGAGATACCCATTTCATTACACTTTATTAAACTGATATTGTTTACCCCCTTGCAGGCATCACCAAAATGCCTAGTGCTCACCTCACCTTACGTGAGGAGGACGTAGTAAGACTTACGCTAGAGTTTCTGCACAACCGTTTCCTGCACATCTCACAGCTAAATGTAGAGAGGGAGACGGGCATCATCAATGGAAACCACTCAGATGACGCACTCTTTCTCAGGCAGCTTATTCTTGATGGGCAGTGGGATGATGTCCTCGAGTTCGTACAGCCTTTGGAGGTGAGTTGGAGATGTATTTTGCCAATAAGTCCAGATAAAAAATATGGTGACAGGGATAAGAGCCTATGGTGGAAATGTCTATATGCCGGCTGTAAGAAAGGTGTTGACAGCAACTCATTAATGTGCAGTGAGTATGGGAAGTGGGTACACAAAAGGTGCAATGGTGTAAGTGGCAGACTGCAGGATGTTACCGACTTTTAAGTGTTCTGTATGTGCAAGTACAGTAATCATGTGGCCTTAATAAGGCTGAAGAAACTTTATATGTACAGAACATTACCCCTGGATTGTGTTGATGAGTTCTGTTACTTGGGTGACATGGTCAGTGCTGCAGCTAACACAGTTGTAAGTGTTGAGCCATTCTATCTTTATCGTGGTTGGTAATTTTTAAAGCCATTATGTGTCGAGCTGCTGCTTTATCTTTTGTGAATAAGTTAAGAGTGTCCAGGAAATTGATTGTCTGTTAACCAGACTTAGTGTTCCAACCGTGTGAATTCTTATTTTATGATATAGGGGATGAAATTAGTATCTTAGATTTCTTTGTGTCTGGCTAGAGTTGGGTTTTGATTTACGGGGAATTTGAGTGATTGCAGCATGACCTCACCTGGTTAAAGTGGTGTGTAATTGAAGTGAATAAACTCCCAAGTTTTCAACTCCTACCCTGAAACCTCAATGATCTCACCAAACCAGTAAGGTTCTGACCTATCATGGCTTGGCCTCAATCCTAACAATTAGGTTAAGTCAGGGCATACTAGAACTAGAGCCTATTAGGGCTGGGGCATATTTTATCACCCAGGATTTAACTTTATATATCATCAAGTATTTTTATCATATCATTTAATGTTCATGTCTATCTTTTCAGGCTATAGATGCATTTGACACAAAGAAGTTTCACTTCATTGTATTAAAGTACAAGTACTATGAATTGTTGTGTATTAAGGCTGAAGCACCGGCCAACCCAAGTAAAGAGGGTGCTGTGGATGAACTAGTCAAGGTATGTTGTACTGGTATTGTTTTTGTTGTGTTGAGCTAGACAAGGGACAGTGTGCTGTCTAATTTGTTCACACAGTTAATTAATTCATTTATCCTGTTTAACTTGTGTGTTTGATCTTATATTTGTGCTGTTATACAGGGTATATGCATTAATCTATTTAAGGTGTGCTAGTATACATGCACTTATCCAGACAAAGAGTGCTATTAAACTTGCAAAGATGTGCTATTTACTTTTCCCATTGATAAAGAGATTATGGCATCCTCTTGTACACGTGTTGAAATTGTCAGGAAATGCTGTAATGTTCATGTTGATTAAATAGTCTTTGTGTTTTACATTTCTTGATTGTAGATTGATTCTTAATATATACAGTATTTCTCTGGAATGATTTATGTTTCTAAACTTTACATGATGCATTTAACACTGCGCCTGTCTCTTTCCCTGTACAACCACCTACCACTATCATCCCCCATAACAGGATATTAACATTAAATGTTTATATTCCCTTCCAGAAGGATTTTCCCCTAAATACCCGTATCCCCCCCAGACGATTTCCCCTGATATACGTAACATAATTCATGAGGTAGATTTCAATCACAGTTTTTTGTCATCTTTGTAGGTATTGAATGAGTTGGAAAAATATGCCCCTAACAAAGAAGCGTACTCCCAGCTGTGTCTCTACCTAACACTTCCTCGACTCCACGAACATGCTGATTTGCGAGACTGGAACCCAAGTAGCGCTCGGGTGCAATGCTGGACACAGGTGAGTTTCTGTAGTAAGACGAGACATTTAAACAACACTGATAACTTTTTGTGTGTGTGTGTTCAGATGTTAGGAGGAAAAATAAGATCAATGATATGCTTAACCTAACCAACCTTATTCCTTACCCAACTAAATGTCCATGAATGCAAAATCAGGCGATGTGTGGCAAGTGGTGAGTACATGAGAGTGTTCAAAAGGGACATGAAGTAATAAATGGTATGGGTGTTTATGGCGAGGTAGATGGGTCCCATGTGTCGCTTGTGTCGATAGTGTTTTAGTTATTACTGTTGCTCCTCTGAGAGAAATTGTTGATATAAACCATTAAAATTTAAGTGTTTTATAAGATGCTTAAATTTATTTGTAATACAATATAGAAAATACTTGATTAAGTAGATGTTTATTAGTCTTTGATTACCCCAGGGAGTTGTGACGCTGCCTTGCCAGCAGTTTTCACCCTGTGGGTAGGCGTTAGGAAGGGCAGCCAGTCGTAAAACCTTGCCTCAATATACCTGATGGGAACCGGGTCACCAAAACTGTGCCTATCCCCTGGCTTCAGCTGCATTTTCTGGGCTGGTGCCCTGAATTGCAGTGGTGAGTGGGGAGGATATCCCATTCCGATTTTACCCAACATCTGCCCTCAGGTAATCACAGCTAACCCACGCTAGCGTGGAAAATGGCAGTAAAATGTTGATTATGATGTAATGTTGCTTAATAATTCTCATAACCTCAAAACATTTAGACTTGAGTTTGATCTTAGTGAACCCAGCTTGAGTATGTAGAGCAAGAGTGATCTAAGAATTGATCAAAGCTGCATTAGTGGGGGGCTGGCCAGAAAGTTCCCTCAGCCAGCTAGAGTTGAGTGATGTAGTTAAAATGACTTGACTGAGAAATTGAGCTTGTATTTTTTCCCACAGGTCTTCCCTTTGGTTGAGAAGTTTTTGCCGGCCGAGCATCGTGGAGGACTTGCCGGGGCAATGGAGGGTGTCGGTATGGCGAGAAATGATCGTCTGGTTCAGTTAATCATCAAGGGCCTCCTGTATGAGTCATGTGTTGATTTTTGCCAAAATCAGGCCACTGGAGAAGGCAGTGGTTCTGGCTCGCTCAAATTTCCTTCACTCCTCGCTTCCACGACGTTCAGTGACTCTGATCTCTCTTTGCTCTCTTGGCTCCAGAGTATTCCCCCTGAGACTTTTGCTTGTCCATTTGAACAAAAAACCCTTAATGTTGATGTTGAACGTCTAGAAAAACCTCCTCTAGAGGCCTCATGGACAGAGCATCTTCTTGTAACTCCTTTTAAACCCAGAACTTTTCCTCACTCAGCCATGCCCTACAGCAGACCCAGAGCTACAGATATAATGTCACGTTCCCTAAACCCTAACCTCGATGGACTCCCATTTGGTCTTGGCTCAAATAGAAACTCGATGGCTCTCTCAACTGGTGATATCAACATGATGTCAAAAAGTATTGCAAGTTTCCATCTCACTGGAAAGAAGACTATGAACACTTCAGTTGACAGACTATTTGACACAGAAAATGTATTTACTAGTAGTTCATATGGAGATCTTCCCACCATAATTGAGAAGGTTGGCCTACCCAAACCTCCACCAAGAAGAGCTAGATCACGTAGTCCCGACAAACGGCAATCCACAGACTCCCTAAATAAACCGGCACTGTCTGATAAAATTGAAAAGGAAATCCGTGAAGAGAAGCCAGGGTCACCTCCTGCTCTGCCCCCGAAATCATCCCCGACCCCGCCTCAGCTACCGCTTCCAAACCACTCCCCTCCGTCTAACTTACCACCACCGTACCATCTTCAACAGCTTCCGCCACAGCACCACCCTCACCCTAAACAAAATGTCCCTTTGCCGCCTGTCCCTGATGGCAAAGCTTCTTTGGCACACCCTCAACAGAACCAGCACCCACAACAGCCACCACCATCTCAGTTTGACAACAACTGCAATTCCAATAACGACAGAGAGACTGGGGAACTGTACAGCATATATCAGCGGAGACAACAGATGATGGGTCAACAACAACAACAACAACAACAGCAGCAGCAACAACAACAACAACAACAACAGCAACATCACATGTATGACCACTATGGCAACAACAACAACCAAATGATGATGAACATGGGCCCGATGCATCCTGCCAGTATGAACATAAACAGGTGAGCCATCTTGGTATTTTTCATTCATTCACTTTGCAAGTTTTCAGATCACAGTGGCTATAAAATTAAGGGTCATAAGAGGAGTTCAGAACTGACATGACACTGTTATTGGAACGTGTGTGTGTGTGTGTGTGTAAAGAGGACATTTGTAGTATATCTGTGGGCCCAACAAATATTGTTTGGGTAATTTTGAGCCACAACTTTAATACTGAATATGTCTGGAGATGAAAGCAAGGTACTGTATTAATATTTCCCAAACACAACTGAATATTTGTACATACAGTATTTAACTATAAACCTCTTCACACACATACAAACTAGGGTTCCAAAAACAGTATCGTGTCAACCCTGAACAACTTTGAACACCCACTGTGACCCCTAAGAGAAAAGGAATTTTACTTGGAACTTACAGGAGGATTTATTTGCAATGTCAATTTTTATCAGATGATGTAAATGTTTTGCACTATTTATGTACCCAAATTTAGCCCAGCAGAGTCCAAATTTGTTAGAGTGAACAAGTCTGTGAAGAGAAGTAACCGTGTAATATGTCTTATGAGTTATATTGGCAGAAAGTAAACCTTTTTCTGAGATGGGACAAACATTATTAAGGCCTTTTCTCTTGAGACTTTTTTGTTTTCAGGAGTATTGTCAACAGTAATAGTGATGAGAGCCATGAATATTATTGTAATGAGTTGATATTATGTTTTAAAGAGTTTCATTGGCATATTTACAGTGTTGGGTGAAACAAGTTTATTTTTATACAATTTACCAACTTAGGTGAGACTTCTTTACTTATTTCTAATGGAGTGTCGACTACTAAAGGTTTCAGGGAAAAGCACAGTGTATTATGAGTAACTAAGGTTCAAGACCAGGATGGTTTGGACTTAGAGGGAAAATTGGTGAAGAAGTAATCTGTGCCTTTATTTATTTGATTTAAATTCAGTAGGCTTTTTTTATGGAGGGTTGAAGGTCAAAGGATGACCACAGGTAGAATGGCCACTTACAGTTAACATTAATGCATCTGCTCACATTGTCAGCTACTTAGGCCCAGTACCCTGTATCATAGACAGTTTGGTTAGGTAGATGGTAGTCCAAATGAGACAAAATTCTAATGGGCCTCAGCCTAACCAATCCATTAGAATATTCCCCAGTCCTAATGATTAGGTTTGGTTGTGGCCTAATGGGACTGGAGCCCATTGGTATATCTGTCCCTGCTTGTTTGGGTAATTGGATGTTTACAAACTGGTGATATGATTTATAATGATTAGCCTTGGGAGCTCTGCCATGAAGAAGTAGAGGAGCTCCTTTGTCTTATTAATCATTATTATTAATATCCACGGCTACATTGAGAGCATAGTCACTTGCTGGTGGTATCCCTCACTCCCTCACTCTTATTGACTTCATATTGAACCTTCTCTGTGAAAGTTACTGTTTCAATTCTCAGTTGTTTATCGTTTCTTGTTCCTGTACTTTATCGCATTTTCTTGCACCCCTCTCTCTTCACAGCTGGAGAGTAGAAGAGAGAGCAAGCTTTTTTACTGTAAAACCACATTTCTAGTCTTGGATGTACTTACTTGTTTGGTAGCCATATGATTAGTGCCCCCCACACCTGCCCCTCCTCCTCCTCTCACCCCTCCTTAACACATCCAGCTACCATCCTGTTTGGTCGAACCCTATTTAGCAAACCCCCTCATTAGAGACTGCAGGCAACTCTAATGTGTCTTAATTGAGTATAATTAGAGCTCTACCCACATCTGAAGCCAGTGGTCAAATAATTTAAGCAGCTCGGTAAAAAATTAAGTGTTATTAATGATTTATCTGTTGATGGACTGTAGTAACTCATTACGGTCACTAATGAATTCACTCTGATATTGTAAACATTGCAACTCGACTCAATTTGTAGTTCAGTCATAATAAACTACTAATGTGTCTTTCTGATGTGGGTCTGTCATTATCTATTGCCACTCTTATATCTGCGAGATGCTCCTGGAAATACAGATACCATGTACAGTGTTTGTGTTTGGGAGAGACTAGCCTCAGGTTGGCAAGGAAGCTGCATGGTCCACCTTGTACCCCCATATTAGTTAACCCTGCAGTGAATGATTGGCTTCTAAACTTGTATCTAGGTTTTACTTAACTAATAAATAAGTTCTCCTAAACTGCTATCTAGGATCTATTAAAGTAGCAACTAGGTTATGATTTGTTAGTGACCAGGTTATGCCAGACTAGTAGTTAGTTTCTAATGATTGTAACACCTAGTTCTGTTAAACTGGTAGCTAGCAAATAAATCAGTAAGTAGTGTCCACAAAACTAGTGGGGCTGGGGTGTGTGTAGCGTACACTACTGTATTGTGGAATATCTTCAAACTTCGTACCAGTACTTGTGTGAATTTCATCTTCATTTGCTTGTAAGAGTTAAAACTTTCTAGAGTTCTTGTCCCAGCAGTTTTCCTTTCTTTCCATGAATAGCACAAGTATTGAATACAGGTATACATCGATTTATGATGACTACTGTATTTAATTTTTTTTTACAATACGTACAGTACAAAAGTAAACAGTTTACACATTTATTTCTATGTATGATTTTTGTTTTGTTTTCACATTATTTTTTAGATGATAATATTTAACATTTACTTTCGTATTTATTATTTTTTTGTGGAAGCATGTAATCATCCATTGTATTTTAAAATTATTGTTAAATTTGTTTCAAGGAGTTTGACTGGCAACAGCATGTTGTAATGAACTTGTTTACAAGCCAACCACATCTTTTGAATCCATCTCCATGCTTCAACAGAACACTTCAGTAATATCCTGCATTTTCAAGGATATACTGTACATTATTTAGAAGTGTGAGGAAAGTAACCAGAAAGTGAAAATAACAGTAGCGATACTCCTACTGGTAACCAACCTTGCAGAGCCATCACTTAATTTTTTTTTTTACATAATTTCAAACTTAAAATGGTAATCATTTGATAAATACTTATTAGTTGATCATAAGGTTTTCAGGAAAAGCACCCTATTGTATAGTAAATTGAGGTGTACCTGTAATGTACCTATGTCTTCTATACTGTAGCTATTTCCTATCTCCTCTTGTACTGTACATGTAACCTTTCACCTCACATGCAACATTTGAGGTCTTCCAGCCATTCTCTCTCTTTGTCCAAACCATCTCCGTCACGCTCATCTTGAACTAAATAAGGATATGAAGAATCTTTTTATTGGCAGGTGTCATGGGCTAGGTGTGATGGAGGGATTTCTTTAATACTTCCAGAGTTTTTACTCCTTTTACCTCATATTTCTTGTTTTCCTTTCAAGTTTCTCTTCACTCATTGTCTGAAATATTTTCCATTTTTCATGTATCTTACAGTTTATTTATTCCTTATCACTGTAACTAACTCTCTTGACAAGAATTTTTTAGATGTATATTCTCGTTATTTTTCCTGATGCTCATTTTTTTCTGCACCAACTAACAATTTTGATCTCCATAATTTTTTCACACCACTTGACTATGTGTTTCAGTAGCTGACCTGCACAGAATAACAGTATCTCTGTCACCCTAGCACAGATTCTCTTCCTGCTGTCTCTTCACCACCAACAAAGTCCTCCTTCACATTGAGCCAAAATTCATTCATTTTAGTACCATAACAATTCAGTCCTTCAGTTCTTAATAGTCTTAAAGTACATTACTGCTGTTATGTATAGCTAAAGATAAATATTGGTCTCTTTAAGTGTAAAAATACTGGATGAAAAGCTCTATTTGCTCACATATGATATCAATAACTGTAACTTTATTTTCCCCCTTGCAAGTATCTGTAACCATCTATTCCAGTTGCCACAAACAAGTGTCATTGGCTTTGAACATGAATCTTGTCCCCAAATTTGTATTTCTAATTGTTCAATTTCCCTCCCCATCTTTTTTTTAATGGTCTAGAAGTGTGAGATGCAAAAAAATGCATAGGGGCTACTACGGCTGGTGAGTCCACTCAAGACACTGTGCACGCTATGTTGCTTCTTACTTAAGGCTGTGTAAATTGAGCACACTTGAGCAGAGTTTCAGCAGGCAGTTAATTGGTGGCAGTTCAGTAATCAGGAGTTCATGGCAAATCAGCTTATGCACATTATTACCTGTTGAAAGTCCTGCAGGCGTGAATATGTTTATAATTAAATAATTCAGCTTATGGCTAGATGTTTGTGGTCAAATAATGACATGAGATGTGCCATATATTCCAGTGATGATCATTTTATATATATTAATGTACATAAGATACCATCAAGATCAATAGGACTTACTTGACTTGATATTCCATCCACATGTAATTTAATTAGTATTTGCTAATTTATTACATATATGCATAATTTCATCACTTCTTTAACCATGGAACAGCAGTTAAGACACTCTCATCTTAACAGTATATATGTACAGTGCAGTACAGTAGAATATCACCACCTCTTTAACCATGGAACAACAGTTAAGGAACACTGTCATCTTAGTAGTATATATGCCTTATTTCTCCCTCTTTTTAACCATCCAACAGCAGTTAAGAAGCACTCTCATCTCGACAGTATATAGTAACCTGTACTGTATTGCCATGTAAGGAAATTTATTAAATGTGCATGATACGTACACTATCATAGTTTTGATTAGGTTAGGTTAAGTTTTCTTATATTTGAATAGGTTAGGTTTGGTAATGGTAGGTCATGTTGGGCTGGGTTAGTACGTTTTAGGCTGGGTAATGTTTGATTAGTTTAGGCTTGGTAAAGTGAGGTTGAGGTAGACTACGTTAAGTTAGGTGCACTCTGTTAACTATAAATGTGAAGACTTTGTAACCCTTCTCCCTCCCTTCCCCCCTCATAGAGTGAATTACCTCTCCTCCCTCCCTTCTTAAACACGCACCTTAGTCCTGGTATAACATTACGTTCTTTAAATATCTAGCAGTGGTATAATGTGTTTTATCAATATATCTTCTCCATATATCGTGTTGCTTTAAAATGTTTCCATACACTTGAGTTTGTACAACTATGTATTATTTTCTGTTTAAGATTTAAGTTTGCTCAGAATAATTTTGTGAGAACTCTTGATGTTGATTGGCTGTCAGAAAAGTCTGCTGGCTGCTAAAAAGGTGAAAATGAATTTTAAGTTGGTTTGGCCGCCAGAAGAATAACATTAAGCTTTTTAGTGTGTAAGAAACGTGGAAAGGGAGAGAGGGGTTGCTGCCATACATGAAGTACCAGTGTAGATGTTGGCAGGAGTCAATAGAATACAGTATTAAAAGTGAAGAATTGTTGAAAATTTCAGTGAAGAATGCCAAAGGAAAGGAATTTCTCAGAAAAGCATGGAAGCCACGAGTTGAATTTTGTTCTAGTTTTCCTTAATATTTCATCATTGGAAGTTCATTAACTAGTAAGCCACGTCACTAAGCACTACCTATAGACTTGAGCTACTTAATCAACCAGCCTCATAATATGTTTGGGGAAGATGAGAGCGAACGTGAATTTGAGGCAACTTTACCCCACAGCCAAAAGTGTCCATGATAGTCACAATGGTTTTCCAGTATGGGAACTTACTCTGGTATGTCTCACGAATGTTTGTGTCAGTTTAGCACTTAACAATAACTGCTGTACTGAATGAGATAGTAGCTACGTTAAGAAGCCATTGCGTCTTGTCTGGTGTCATATGGTTCATTAATCAGTCTTGTCATCTTCCTTTTATAGTAAGTCGAGTTTATTTGGTATGCAGGTCACTGTGTCCTTCTCCTGTGTGTGTTGGATCCTTGTGTTATCTTTTTTGTGTTCTAAATGTGTTTTATCCTCAGTGTGTGTAATTAGCAGTTAATTTTCAAGGGGAAATTTCTGTTATATTGTGGCTAGTAGGATAATGATATTTCTCAACAATAACCAAGTGTTTTAGAAATGTCAGGCAGATAAATGGCATACCATATATTTCTAGCAGTTTTTACATAGAAGAAGAATGTCAGAATGTTTTTGGTATGTTATATAAATTGTTGTTATAGTATTATCTTCTTATTTTTGTATGAAGTTAAATTCTAATGTGAGGCTTTTGGTCCAGCATTACCTTGAGTGACTTAGATGATAACACAGTCACAGTGTGTACTGGTCTGCTTAATCAATGCCGTCTTGGGAATATCAACATTTGTTTTTCTCCTTTTTGATTGTGTTAAATATTTTCTTCACCATCTTCATTCTAGAATAGTTGTTATACATTCAGGCCAGCCAGGCAGCTCCAGGCATGTCATACTGATCTAGGGTGAGGTACAGAGAGTAGCGGATGTGTCATGCGCCACACAGGCAAGTCATTAGTCGGGTCTTGAGAAGAGGCTGTGCACGTATATTTTCTTCAGTAGCTGTGATGTGTGGCAGCAGAGTAGTGTCCCTGTGTGGATCAGCACAACAACTGTACTGTATATACAAGTTGCAGTAATATACTGTATTGCTTTGATTGGCTGACTACTGCTACTAGCTATTGTCATTTGCATATGGATGAGCCACTGCTTTTTGTGAAAGAAAATTTTGCAGTTTGAAAATAATATGCTGAACTGTATACTTTTTTGTGAACATTCATCATATTTTTACATATTTTTCTCAGTTGTGATGGAGTTGAATTGTTAACAGGCTTAAAGGAAGTTATTATTGAGACACCAACAATGATGAGATATAGTAGTAGAGTTAGTGATCATGCTCGGCCGTTCCGTCTTCACCCAGACCGCAGGAGATGGACTGTATCAGTTTTGCCTCGAAGGTAAAATGTTGCCAGAATTAAGATTATCGTCTCTTAAAGTACAATAGGTTGGTGTATGAAACTAGGGATACAATACTTTGACTCAGTTGATGGTACAGTGCTGTAATTTAATTCTTTACTAAAAATTATGAACTTGCAGTAGTGAAAGAGGTCAATATTCAACCACTTCATTGTGTGTTGTTTATTCTTATTGATTGATTTAGTGAGAGATAAATACTTAAGTTAATTCTCACAGGATGATACTGTACTGTACTGTCAATTGAGTGTCACTTAGAGATCAAATAAAAGATAAGAATTAGGAACTACAGTACAGGCAGGAAGTCAGGTTTATTGTGATATCTTGTGATCAGGTTTAGTGTGATAACTTGTGATCAGTTATCCATATTTTATTAGCAAGTTGTAGTCATCATTAAAGTTTTATTAAAAGATTGGACAGTGACATTTATTATTGATTACTTAATGGATAAAGATTGACATTTCTTTCTTTTTCTGATAGGATTTGTTTCAGTTGTCTTTGACGAATATTGTGTATTTGTTTGTGCCTTAGAAAAAAATACTGTATATATACCCCACAGTATATTTGATTGAACATTTAAAGGAAGCTATAGTATCCCTTTTGTCTTTATTGTCTTCCTGTATTATATTTCACGTTGGTTATCATGGCATGGTAGAAGACGTATGCTGTGAATTTTGTTCTGTGGTAAACGGGCAGTGGCCACAATACGTCCCCCGGCCAAAACTCACCCATTGTATATATGATAAACAAATCCCCCCTTTTTTTTTACATTTATGACACCTACATTGGTTGCCTTTGTTACCTGTGGTTTTATTAGTGTATTTATAACCCCTGTGAGAGTTCTATACTGTACTGTATTAGACTCCCTGGAATGTGAAACAGTGAATACTATAAACTAATGTACAGTCGCGAACATGAGTCTTGTCTTGCTGCTCCACGAACCCCGAGATTTAGACTAGTGAACCCGAAGCAGTAGACATTGATGGATTATATCCCTCATAAATGCTTCGGATTCACAACTCTGAATCTTGGGGTTTATGGAGCAGCAGAAGAGGCAACTGTATTTTTTATTTTTTGTTTACTGTACCGTATCTATATAAAACAAAATCAATTGAATCAAGATCTTTTTTAAGTGTCTCCTACAATATATTTTCTTATTTTTGGTCATTAAATATTACTGTAGACTCATATAATAGCACCATCTACCTTACTCTTTAGTGTCTTTATTTTTGTTTTTTAATTTGTTGCACCAACCATCATCCTTATTAAACTTGTGAGACCTAATTATTGTACTATGCCATTTGGGTTATTGTGCTAAATGGTTTCTTCTGTTTTAAGTTACTAAGTCAACCATTCTCTTCTTTTAATTTAACAGGATGATGCCAGGAGTGGTTCCCCCGTCACTAGGAGCTCCCAACGATACCATCAACCCGTCAGCACAACCACCGCCGTACCTCCAGCCCTACGACTCTGTAAAGGTAAATATTGGTTATATGGTGTTTCATTTGATCTTATTATTCATTTCTCTTTAATATCCATTATCTCTTGTTTGGTTATTATTGGTTACGTCTGCGTGTAGCTGTTCTTGTTAGCTTATTATTCCTTCCTTTCTCTCTTTTCAGTTTATTTAAAGTTGTGCAAAGTTACATTTTTCTTTCGTGGCGTAAGTTCAGCAGTCGGAAATTTACTTTGTATTTTTTTTCTTCAGTACAGTACTCGATTTTATAATCCTTGTTAGTACTGTAGTCTGAACTAGGGATGACTTCTACCTTGATTCTGCCTTTTTATGTTAATGTTAAATTGTGTAAAATCTCCTATTGTTTGCTTTGGTTCATCTCCGAGTGACGTCTGAGATTCTTTGCGTATTTTAGTCATTTCTTATTTTGAAGGCCCATATTAGAAAAACTGTAAGATAGTTATTAGTGAAATAGTACGGGTTCATTTATTTACAAAGTGACGATGACCTATAACAACATACCGAGAGTGTAGTCATTTATAAAGACTACAGTAATGACTTATCACGCCCTCGTCAAAAGCACAGGTCAGAGAGGTTTAGGGTTCGTTTGGATGGTGTAGGTGTGGAGTAGGAGGCTTGTTCAGTATACAGGTATTACAGTAATACAAGGAGAACTAGACTTCACTTGAGGGAGGTGTTGACTCATGCTGGGTGGTGCCTTCTATAGGGTTCTGACCTTAGCCTTTCACTGTTTGACCCAAAAACAATGCAGCTTTAGGGGTTGTTGTGATATGTGTGTGTGTGTGTGTGTGTGCGTGCGCCAAGTATGAATATTGTAGCTTTTCCCATTCTTAAGTTTTGTTGATGACGTGTACAGTATATTCACATTGCCACTAACCACCCTTCACACACGACCTGGTGAGAGATATTTGTTGCTATTTACTGTAGCTGTGGAGAATGACATAACCTTAGAGTCCATCAAATGAACAGCTGGCATATTTATAATGAGAGGTGTACCTGAATTTCCACATAGTGCTCAACAGCCATTATAAACTGTTCGTAACTGTTAATTGATGGAACTGTGACATCTTTATGTTGTCTCTGTAACATGTTTACTTAATGCTTGTTGTATTTTGTAATGCATGGCCTGATAAATGTGAAGTGTGACTGACCCAAGACATTTATAATTAATTGTTGGCCAAATAAGTCACAAGCAGACAATAGGCCAGCAAAGTTTTAGGCAGAGAGGCATACAGAGTGTGCTTGTTTATCGATATATATATATACAGTATGGATAGATAGATGGGTAGGTTTATTGACTATGCCTGCATACACCTGTGATGCATGTTTAGGTGCTTGCATTTGCTCACACTTTCAAGTGAAGTTTCATGGGCATTCTTTCTGAAGTCTCTCTGTAATTATAATTTATTCACATGTAGATAAGAGATGAGATGGTAGCTTGGGTACCCCATGTACGAAGAAGACAAGAAGGCAGAGGGCGTTAGCTGGGACACACCCAGTCCACACACCATGTTAGGCTCACCTCATTTATCCACATTTCCTCCAGAGGAAGCGCATCAACCTATATGTCCATCTTCATCGGCTTGTCTACTCAATTTGATTCTGGTCAAGTCAGGGCTGTGTGTATGTGTGCGTTGGTACGCCTATGTGGCCGGTGATACTGAGGTGCAGCTTTTGTCTCCTTTTTTTTAGGTTACCAGTTCTGATTCTTGACTACTATATATAGTGTATATGTTTAAGTCTACAGAGGTTTGTTTTCCCTTGTTTGTCCAGGTGGGGGACTTGAGATTATATTTTTTCCACCAGTGCTTACATCCATCCATCAGTTGGATTTTAAGCAGACTTGGTGTGTGGACATACTGCAACAAGACCTCTGACCAGTTTGATATTCAACACTTTCTATTGTTAATGTTAAAGAGTTATTGCCCCCTGTGGCACTGCAGTTGATTTACTTGCCTTCAGTGGCTACCTTGTGGTAACTAGTCCTAGTTCTTGACTACATACAGGTCAGCTCTGATATTTATATTAAAACACCTGCATTTTTTTACTGTGCATAGGTCCAACCTGGGGACTGTATTTGTATGTACTGATTCTTTTAATTCTATGGTTATTGCATTTTCTCCTTGCATGTAGTTGGTTAGTATTTAATTATACCATTGTATCTCCCTTGAGCAATATTCATCCATCTTCCTGTCCCACCTTTCTTCAGTACCAAGTCTGGGGGTCTGGATGAAGTGTGTCTTGATGTATTGTTTATATTTTTTGGGTTCTGACTTCCAAGTGTTGTGAGCAACTGGGAGTGTACAGTAGACCCCTGGAAGGCTATCAGTATTGGTTGTGACAGGTACAAGGTCAAGATTCCAAGACCAGTGTGTTGAGCTTAGCAAGTCATCCACACATCACTTGAGTATTATAGATAATGTGTGCTCCTTAGATGGCTACAGTAAAATATTATCATGATCATATTTTAATTCTTTATACATAAATTTTTCACTTAAATGTTTTTCAAAGCATCATAGACACAGTACAGGTATTACACTATGACCTCACCCCCCCTCATCCCTCTTACAAGCCTCAACATTGATCACATATAAGCTACATCTCTCATCACACCACTTCCTCTTATAAGCCCTAAACAAGTGGAGGGAACACAGGCAAGTATCTATCAGGAGTGTCACTGTAGGGTGGGGGGGGGGGGGACACCTCACACCGGTTAGCTCGTTGTGCCGGGATACCAGGGCGGTGCGTCATCCTCCTTACGTTCTTGCTGGTCCATAATAATTATTAATTTTGGTTGTAATTTCGTGTAATTATTGTGCACTTTGACAGTAATGAGAATTAAATACTGAGGGTGTAGAAATTGGTATAGTCTTGTCCAGGGTGTGTTCCTGTGTTGTATAGAGATACGTAACTAACTCTACAACCTGTTCTTACTTAGATACTGTACTAAACATATAACATTTTCTCAAGTGTAATAAGAACAGAAATGATCATAGTACAGCATTCAGCTTCAACTGCAAACATAATCTGTCCCCATTAAGATTCACGTCACATTGTACAAAGCGAGAGGGGTACGGTACATCAGTAATCACACGACGATGCTGAACTTTGCCTTGTGTACAACTGTTCATGTGAGTACATAGCCTTTCCTCACAGAGATATGTAAAATACAGCATTATACTCTGATAAGTACCGTACATTGAATATGATCCTATGACACTAATTTGTTTTTATAACCGTACCATTCATGTAGCCTTAATGGATTACCCGAAAATTAGTCCTCCTAGTCCTCATCTGAAGATTAACCCCAAGTAATGTAGGAGAAAGTGTAGGTGGTGGAGGAGTAGGAAGAGGAAAAGTGAGTAATGTATGGGAGAAGGAGGGAGGGGTGAGAGGGTGAGTAGTGTAGGAGAAAGTGTGTGGTGCAGGAGGAGGAGGAGGAGGAAGAGGCCAAGCAAGTAATGTAGGAGAATGTATGGGAGGAGAGAGGGAGGGAGGGTGAGTAATGGAGCAGGAAGTGTGGGTGGAGCAGGGAAGGGGGGGGGTAAGGAAGTAAATTTGTCACTTAGGGAAAAAAGTGACATGTTCTTGAAAAAAAAATTGGGGGGGGGGGGTGGAATTTTTGGGCGAAAAGTGACTTGTGTTATGGGGAATTATGTTTATTTGGGGAAAAAATTGCAAGGTTGTATTATGAGAGGAGAAAATTTATAAAATCTGTTTAGTTCAGTTATTGTGAAAAGTGTCTGTTTTCTACCCATTTATCAAAGTCTACCGTAAAATTTATCCATTTTCTCTCTCTCTCTCACTCTTCTCCTTCCTGTGGTGTGTGTGTCCTTGAGTTACGATTTTATCAGGGAAGACTTTAAAGGGTTAAAACTAACAAGGCAGGGCAGACCATTTGCATGTCCATTATCGACGGCGGGGGACACACCTGCCTCGCTGATTCACCACCGCCGATACCAACGCTTGGCTACAGTAAACAAAGGCCTACTTTAGCCCAGTTTGGTTCTTTGGATAATGTAAACTGTCTAATTTGGCTGTGTTTAATATATTTTGGTTACACAGATAAGGTTAATTTTTTTGTGTATAGTTGAGATATTGTTTAATTTGGCTCTCTAATATATTTTGGTCGTTAGTATTGGGCATACAGTTTCATTTGGCTGTTTTGGTTTTATAAATGAAGTCGACAGTCTAATTTGGCTATCATTAACCCAATTTGGTTGCATAATTCTGGTACACAGTTTAATTTGGCTGTTTAGGTTGTATAAATTGGGTATACAGACCAATTTGGCTATCCTTAATCTATTTTCACTCACAAGGTCAGGTGGTACAGGTATATGAATGTGGCTAATTAGGACAATCAAGATGCAATTTTTATGCTATTTTGGGCATGTTTTTTTTTATGTTGTAGCGTAAGTTGGTCATTTAATTACGTCCCATCGTCTCGAGGCACGAAGGAAACTTAATTTAAGAACCCTTGCCTCACCCCAACCACACCACCCCGATCAAACACAAGGCAGTCATACCACCTTTATAGCGTAGGGTGAAGGTTGTGTTGACGTGGGGTACACATGACCACATGTCACAGGGCGGCTGTTATATAAGACGAGGTGCATCGACCACACTGCGTTCCGTCCAGTGAGGATTTCTCCCTAAAACAAATGAGAACTAAATATCATCGTAGAAATAAAACCCCATATCTTTTACATATAATTGTTACTTATGTATATTATGTGTATATTTATGTATTTTTGACAATAATGATAATGAAAAACAAGGTATTTAAAGGGACAAATTAGGTGTGGCCAGAGCCTCCAGGTGTGTTGCCTCATACAGATTATAACCCAATGATTCATCTTATCATATACGCAGTTCACCTAACTCGAGGGTGTTTTTTTAACATTATTCAGTGTCAATTTAATGGGCGTGTGAGCCAGTGCGCAGTAAGACCTGGTGTGTGGGCGTACGGGCGTGCGGGCGTCGCCTGACCTCATGCCGAGA